GTATATTTTTAATTTAATTAGAATAACATTTATGTAAATATTTAGCTAGGCAAACAAACTTCCGAAACTTGCCAGCGTGCACCAAATGGTAACATGAATATTATGCTGGTAAAATTTTGGTTTTATTTAAATATGGTTTCATTTATATCCATTTAAATGAAATAAGCTGTTTAAATTACAATTATATTTTCAGGGGGATGACAATTCCGTAAATTGCGGTCAGGAACCAGATAAAGAGGAGCACGTAGAAATTACTTTTGTCACGTTCAATCCGCTTTTTGTAAGAGCTAAAATTATATAAGTATTTTATTTGGAAGATTAATTTAAGACTTTTTTCTAAAGATCAATTCCTGACATTCTAATGTATGTGATTTTAGGATATTAAACAAATCATTTTAAATTCTGATGAAGACAAAGGAACTGCAAATGGAATGAACGTGCTTGAAGAAATATCGCGATCCAGCCTCCTCACCTCCGACACAAAAACTCTCATAAAGCGTCGTATTGTTAACTTTCTGGTGAAGAACTATTCATATCAGTAAGTTATACCTACATATAAACCGATAATTTGGAAGTAATAATTGATTTGTTGTGTTTTGTTTCTTTCAGTCCTTCAAAAGAAGTTAAAGAGAACTTGGCGAAATGTGTTGCAATGCAGCTATTTCAAAATCTTAATTGTGAGCAGCAAAAAAACATTGAGGTAAGAAATATTTATGCACTTTTATTATCAATGCCGAAATCTATTCTTTGGTTTTAGAATATGTTTTACCGAAAATCTGAGGTGAAAGAAAAAACGAAGAAAAAAAATTCGGCGTCAGGGCTCATTGAAGACAGGTTGAAACATTTGCGGAGAAAACGTAACGTCACTAAGCCTCGGAAACCTGAATCGTGTCTGGAGATTACTAGTATGTGAAATGTATATATTAAATGTACTTACTTATACTTACGTCATTTTATATTATTATTAAAAAATGATTTAATTTTTAAATTCAGAGCCATCAGAAGATGAAGAAGACAAGAAATCGTGGTTGCGTTATACTTCATCTCCACTAAATCAAGTTGCAGAATACATGGCGCAGACTTTTCGATTGAGATCAGAAGAGTTAAAGACAAATGATCTGTTGACTACCTTAAATGAATGGCCGCGACTAATTGATACTACTGGGATGGTAATTTTTCCAAAATAATTTAATTAACACGGACTTGCACATAATTACTTCCCTTAATAATAATACCTCCATTTTTAATTGTGTGTCAGATTGACCTAGATTTTTCCATTCGATATCCTGACAAAGGCGATATGATGCTGCACAAATGGACTTGTATTTCAAATCAAATTTGGAAATATGCAGTAAAAACGAGGGCGAATATTCATGGGGAAATTGGGATTTCCAAGAACGTAGAGGAATGGTCGAAGGGTATTAATTATTTTATCAATGACGTTTAATTAAACTAAGCGGTATTTTATAAATATTAATTATTATTAATTTACTTGTTCTTATAGACGAAATAAATTCCGGATCTTTACTATTGCTTCCGTATTTGTTTTCAAAATCTGCTTATACTCAAGATGGCAAAAAGAGACGAAGAATTACCGGAGCCCATTCTTCTGAATTCTTCGTACAGTTTTTTCAAGTCAGTTCCTTCTTTAAATTAATTTAAAAAATAAAATTATTTTTTCATAATAATATTAATTACTTTGTGTTTATTATAGAGAAATGAAGATCTTGAAGAATTTCGTTTAGCAGAATCCGTGAGAACGCAGCCATTTGTTATTTGTATAGGAAACTTGAAGTTTCTTGACATCCAACAAGCTTTCGTCATGGTGGAACGGCGCCTCATTGCTGCAGAGTCTTTCGTAAAAGCTGTGGATCTCTGTTTCAAGATCTTTTACGTCCTAGAACTTAAATTTCCCGAAGAGTGTAAGAGTGTTTGGGAGTTTTTCGACTGCACAGTTTTCCAAACTAACAAAGTTAGGTCGTCATCGTCTTCAGTCTTGTCGCTTTCGTCACAAATCACCATGGACGAAGGATTAAATGAAGATTGATTATTTAATTTTACTAATTAAAATAAGACGTACGGGTATTATGTACGGGTATTATTTTTATTTATTGTCAGTATTGTTAATACGCTTAATAAGTACAGTAATATAAGTAATATATTATTAATATCACTGTCATTATAAATTATAAATGTACTAGCTCTAGTAAACAACATAATAAATAATTATAAATTAAAGAGCATTCAATGATAAAGCAAAGAGCAAATTTTAGTAAGCATATGGAATAAACAATAATCATCAAAAGGTCAAAATTCGATCATACAAAAGTGCAATTATCATTCCTGAATGTGATAAAATTTGATTGGAACAAAGAGTAAATATTTAACAACTACTTTAGCAAAATTCGTCTATTTGATGGTGTAACTTTTGTGCTTTTATCGTAACAAAAATTCAACGACTTGAAGAGCACGCTTTGTCCAAAAGTTGAGTAAAACTTTTACTCAGCCTAGAGAAGTAAAATTTAACCGAAAGGTGAGTCATCCCCTTTTTTAACCCGATGTTGTGTTAAGTTTGATCAAATTTGCGCAATACTTACTCAATTTTGTTTAGAGTGTATACATAATGCTAGGGTAGGAAATACTTTTTGCAAAAATTGACTTGCAAAAAATTGAAAACCCTCTTCTAAAAAAATATGTAGCTGTGTATTTCTAAATATTTGTGGGAAAGTCGGCAAAATTATTTTGGCTTTACTCTCCTCAATCATTGAGGCTCAATGTAAAAAAAATAATAGAGGGAATTTTTATCAGGAAATTAATTATTTTTTGCTAATTTGTTTGTTTGCCAATTTGTGGAGACACAAAATTGCGGGGAAAATTCCTATTTTTTAAACAGTAAATCTGTATTTTATATTTCCTACTAGTTTGGAAGAATTTTGATTAGGTTTTGGCGTAGTTATGTAACATATGAAGATATTTGAAAATTGCGGTAATGAGCGAATTAATATAGGAAAATATGAGAATGAAACTCATTGAATTTAGAATTGCCAATTGAACCAAGTACAGAAAAAAGTGATTTGTGGGCTGACCGGAATCGAACCGGCAACTTTTCGTTCACCAGACTACCGAGTTACCACTTTCCCCACAACGCCCTTAGAATAGCATTGCATGTTTTTCCTGTACTTGGGTGATGCATATTTTAAAAGCAGGAGGGATATTCATCCTCTTCACCCTGCCTTTATGCATCGTATAAAGGCAGGGCAGGGCAGGGTCTTGGTTCAATTGGCAATTCTAAATTCAATGAGTTTCATTCTCATATTTTCCTATAACATATGAAGATACTCGATCCTACGAAGGTTTTTGACAGACAAAAAAAAGTTTAGTGAACTACTGTATCGTATTGTTGGTGTATGAAAATTATGATTAGTTTAAAGATATGAGTATTTTGACAGGTTATCTGGATTTGGTACATACTATGTATGTAGTAACAATATAATATTTGAATTGTCGGCCATCTAACCTGTAAGAAAAGCTTGGAGGGAATTTAGACCAAAAGGAATGTATGTAGGGTGCGACCCAAAATGATAAGACCACCCAAGTTTTTTTGAATATCTCAATCCATGATAGTTCAATTATAGTGATATTTTGCATGTTCATGAAGGTACTCATGATACGTTTTGGTACCAACATTGGATGGATGGCTTTGGGAACTCGTGGAGATACGGAGAAATTACTGAAAAATGGGTGATCCAAGATGATAAGACCACTTTAGATTTTTGTGTCTTATTAATTTCCTGTCGGGTTTAGGCAGTAAAACTAATTTTTTTCCAACATGGTAGAAGGTATTAGTCTCGTAAATACTGATATCGCTCAGGTCCATACTCCTCACGAGCAGAGCAACTGCCAAAGATTGATTTTAAATCATGACCCCATTTATAAAATTGCCATCCAGCATTTTTTTGCACAACTACCAAGTTATTGTACCAGGGAATGCTTCGCTCGTTCAAAAATGACCTCCGAATGAAATTTGGATATTGCTTGTTTCGTCGGATGCATAGAATTTGAGTATCTTATCTACCTAGAAGGATGAATGATATGGAGTGAGACTGAAATTTTCATGTGCGGCACTCTGGCAACAACCAGGAACTACCATGACACAAGATGCGCAAGGTGGCGTGTGGTGTGTAGTTGTGGTTCAGATATAGCAGCCAGGGGGCTGTTCAAGAATGATAAGTATCAAATTGGACGGTTTATTTATGTTTCTTTATCTAATTATTTTTATTTATTGTGTGAAGCATCTAATTAAAAAAAATGCAATTTTAGGCCATACATTCGAATAAATTTAGAAATCTTGGCACAAAAAATATATATATTTCGGGTTCACAGTCCCGGAAACGGCTCGCCGTCCGGAAATGTCCATTAATTGGTAGAAAATGTACGTCTGCGAGATGGTGAGAATATGTAAATTGTTCCTCATCGGTGTGTAGAACCTGTAAAATCAAATAATGTTTAGCCCAAGGATAAAACTGTAGTCACAAATTTCTTACATACTGTGATATTCAAAAAATGCGACGGTGGAGTTATTTAAAGCTGATACGCTGCTATTTACATACTGCTCGGGGTGAGGGGCGATCATCTTCCTAAAATAAAAGCAAAATAAAACAATTAGCTCAAACTATGAATCAGGTTAAAATTGTAGTAACAGTTATTAGTTAAACCGGTAGCAATAAATACAATTAGTTGAATATTAAATTCGTTATTTTGAGCTTACAATCAGTCCCCATTGAATAGAATGAGTTTATTAAGTCCGTGTCTGCTAGATATTCCCAGGGAAACTCTATAATCTTTGCCGGCATGGAACATTCTTGTTCGGATATATTTCTTAACAATTTTCTTAATTATCAGAGTACTATGAAACTCCTTCTCCTTCATATCGTAAAACACATTGTGTGCCCCAAACGTGGGGAAAAGGTTCATACCCGTGGATGCTTCCAAAACACTTGTCAAAATTTTCCGGTCAAGATTCGCAGTTGATGGGGAATACTTGATTTTCTCATGACGTTATAGTAAAATGTGTCCGCCTTCTCAATAACTTTAAACACACTTTGACTTGGGCACACGAGGCCACCGTTGTCTTTGATCTTTATGAGTTTTTGTACTGATGCACCTAAAGGGTCATCCATAGATGACACAAGAGCTTCTAAACATATTGCGCAGCACTTTTCATTTTGAATACTGGAGACGACAAATCCAGCTATATACGCCAAGGAATTCAAGTAAAACTGAGAGTACTCAACATCCTCAATCATATCAATTAAAGGGAACTCTAAGTCCGGTTGGACAATACGCTTTTTAGGTTGCAAAGGGAGAAGACCTCCAGGGATGCACACATCTTGAACTTGTTGAATGCAGTTTCCGGTACTTGTCGACTTTAGAAGATTTTCCTGCCAAAGGTTCTTGATAATATTTGTGAATTCAATTGTATTTGGGTTATTATTCCTCCCTAACTTTCCACGGATTTTATTAAATAAAAGTTCAAGCAGGTCTTGCGAAAATCTGTAGATCATGACATATTTCAACGGAGATTCTCTTCTATACAAGAGCTGGAAAGAGATGTGCAGGATTGACTTGATGCTAACAACAATCCCGAGGACACATCTATGCCTGGCACTTCGGCAGATCACTTTTCGTTTAAAACTAAAGTTGTTTTTAATTTTCCTTTTTTCCAACATGGTGAACTTCAAAACCCTTCTGGCGAAGTATTCCAGAAAGGCTGCTCCAGAAAGGACATACTTCTGGTAGTCCAGACTGCCTTATATCCTGATGCATTTGGATTGCTCGAGTTCAGATAATCAAAGGCCCTGTCCAACTCACGAATGAATTTAGCCGTTGCTTTTGAACTCCGAAATTCTTCCAGCCCTAGATCTGCTCTGCAGAAGTCCAATGCATCTGCCACTGATGAACTAAGCACTTGTGCAGCTAAACTGACTTTCATCTTGTGTTTTTCATCTTGGTTATGTCGTAGCTTATTTCCCGCTCTAACTCCTTCTTGCTGTTGAAGTTTGTGCAGAATATCTACGAACTTCCAGTCAATCGTGTCTCAAACGTCATCTTGAATCCCTTCACATTGAGCCAACAGATTTCTGAACAACTTTAGAACGTGACATACATCGAAAATTGCTCCAAAGTTTCTTGCTGGGTTGACAGGATTGTCTAATACTGCGTGAATATCTTCGTAATGGATATCAATCATATCAAGATTTCTACTTCCTTTGATTTCAGGTTTCTCCTTTAGCCCAAATTTTTCAAACATTTTGCAATTAGCTGAATATCCATCTGAAATTAATGCGTGCACTATAAACCCGTTTTCCTCCAACATCTTCATGGCGTGATGGGTCACGTTGTACATGGTTGTTTCGTCGACTTTTTTGGTGAAAACGAATCCGAAGGGATCTCCCAACCACCGCAAACGCCTGCCAGAAGCACAACTAATGCGGAAGTTGCTAGTTCTTCGGTTCCGTCACATTCCAATATCCCTCCAATTCCAATCGGCGTGACAAACCCTTCGTATTTGTGAAGATGGTTGCACCAGGGTGTATCCTTCCGAATCGCCATTTCATCAACTTGAAGGACCACGTCAGTCATGAAATTTGTATTATCATTTTGTCTAGCTTCTGAGAGCCTTGCCATCACATCCTTGCTGAAGCCGGGGCTGCAATCCACAGAACTGGTCCATGAAGATAAAGTTGATTCATGTGGTAAAGTGATATGTTTTTGAAGAAATGAATAGGCCTTAGGTGACATAAAATGCAGGGTTTTTGCAAACTTTTTGACTTCGTTATTGTAGCGTACTCTGGTTTTCCCTTTGCTGCTGTGAGCTTGAAGTTGCTGGTCCAGAACTTGATTTAGAAGGGCAGGAAACTTTTTTCTTAGTGCGTCGAATTGATTAGCGCCAAGTTTCTTGCACTCTCTCAACTTGTCTGAAAGGTTTGCTTTAATTTTCTTTATGGATCTTCGCCTACGAAGCAACGACAGCTTGGCATTCCGTAAGCGCTTCTTAAGGGACTCTTGACGGGCGTAAGCGATTTTAATGTCAACAGGTGGGGAATTCGCGTAGTTATGCTCTTCTTGAGCTCGATGCAAAGAGAAAGGAGTTAAGATTTCGAACCTGCAGATCGAGGGTGTCGACTCGGTGCCACCGGGTGAAGTAGAACGGGGTAGCATGTCACACTGAAATGTCATTGAACTGTCATGTCAAATTTCCCATCTGTAATACAATTAGAATATAAGTATACGGAGAGCACCTACGACATAAAAAATACCTTGGTTAACACTGCATAATGGTGAGGCATATATGTCGTCCTTGTCGCAGCCATCCAGGAAAATCCGACATGTGATTTCTATGTGCACTCCAGTTTTTCCAATTTGGTCACCTAAACCATGAAACATAGTAATATTTCAGAAATGTTGGCCAGATAAGACCCCAAAATAGAGAAGTTACCTTTTACAAATCCCTCCACAGATATGCTTGGTTGATTGTCACAGTATGAGTCATGATGGAAAATGAGTGATACGTACAAATATTTTTCGCATCGATCTCAACGATTTCCATAAAAATTATTACAAATTTAATTTTCGGTGGAAGGGTTCACGTAGTATAGGGATTTAAGAACTGCATGTAACCACACCCCCTTTAAAAATTGGGACAAGAAACTGGGAAAAAGAAACTGAGAAAGCTAGTATACACTCGGTACAACAAGAATTAGGCCACAACTTGCATTTGACATTCGAATTCCCCCCTGAATAAGAACATTTTGATGCATCAAAAATTTCAAAATTCGAATATTCGCGGTTTTTTTACATACACTGCAAATAAACTGGTGTCAATTCCGCGCGGTGTAGTCACATATAGACACCACGCGGTGTTAATACGGGCAATTAACACCGCGTGGTGTCTATATGTGACTACACCGCGCGGAATTGACACCAGTTTATTTGCAGTGTACACATAAATCGTTAAAAAAGTCATGGTTCCGGTCATTTCACTTCTGACAACCTGATGCCAGATTTGTCTACGTCAAAAGAGCCATATTCTCAGCTTTTGTTGTCCGAAGTGAAATGACCGGAACCATGACGTTTTTGAGGTCAGAGTTTCCGTGGGGCCATCTTGTATGGCAAAGGCCGTAACAATGCAATGTGAAATGTTTGTCAGAGAGAGACGAAGACTGGTGATTTCCATACGCTCCTACTGCGAGCGGGTAGTGACACCTGCGAGAATCAGCCCGAATCTCTGTCTCTCTCTGAAAAATGGAATTAAGAAGAGTTGTACACTTCCAGTGGAATTCATCTCATGTAGGTGCAGAGTGGGAATTGCCGTTGGTAGAAGATCCGATCGTCTTATTTCCCTCAAAGAAAAATCTGAATGCTGGAAGTGACGGGAACACACTTCATGCTTCGGTTGATCAAAGTCGAAAGTCGCCGGAAGAATTGGACGAAGAGCTTGAACCCACCGTCGACATACGTTGGCATGAGCTCTACTGGTTGGAAATCTATGTATGAAAACACTATTTTAGTGGCCTTGAAAACATTTGATGAACTCATAGCTAACCTGTGATATGATAGTAAAGGCTCATTCTTCCTTCTATCCGCTGTGCAACACGGAACTATACAGTTTCGTTTGGATTTGCGGACCATCTATGCAATTTATTAAGTAGCGGAAGCGCTACTTTATGTGATTGCTCTGTCCGTCCGTCTGTCTGTCTGTCTGTCCGCATATGGATCTCAGCAACCACTTAACCGATTTCCATGATCTTGGTGTCGAAATGACCCTTGAGTCAAGTGGGGTTGCAGGTTTATCTTTTTGACCCCGGGACCACACCCCCTGACCTTGAAATTAAGGTCAAAAGGTCAAAGCCATGAATATGGCATGTGATATATCGATTGACAACTATTTTTCAAGACGATTTCAATGGATAGAATGATTTCGACATCCAATGACCTTTTGACCTCACTGTTGACCTTTTTAGGTCACGGTGAAGGTCAAAAGGTCACAAAAACTTTTTCCATGATTTTTGACGGGGAATCCGAATATGGACACCAATTTGCATTTTGACCTGATTGTTGACCTTTTTAGGTCACGGTCAAGGTCAAAAGGTCACGAAAAAGTTTTAATGGATTTTAAGCAAATCTCCTGTTAATTAAGTTTGAATATTAAATATTTGTGTGGCTGGAAATTATCCGACAGCCCCTCCCCCCTGACTCGGGCTATATCAACTTGTACTGAGAGGTTTTGACCATGACAACAACCTTAAATGGTCGCTATTAAGGTAATAAAAGACTTTAGGTCATAAAGTTATTCTTGATGCGAATTCTGAATATGAATATCATTTTTGTTTTTGACCTTATGACCTAGCCACATGTATTTTTAAATATTCCAAGTTTCACACATTAACCCTTAACATTTTCAACATTGTTTTCAACGTTGTCAATTTCACCAACACCAAAGTACTGCTTCCGCTACTTAAATACACCGTACTTGCCGATGGTTTATTAATAATATTTTCAATTAAAATCAGCATAATATAAATGTTGCAAGATAATATAATGATTTAAAAAAACCCATTTATCTCCGCCTAAAAATTTTCAAATTCTTAACCAACAACCCAATTTTCGAAAAATTTGATGTAACTCGTTTAAATTCCCAGAATTTCAATATTGGTTTACCATATTATCAAAATTTTCAGTATGTATTTTGTGACTTAATAATAAGTAAAACAAAATAAACTGGTAGAATTTGGAGGAGACCAGACGCGCGTAGCAACCTCATTAAAAAATGCCATGTTGCTAAAAATAATGGAGTCATTAGTTTATGCGTAAGAGGAGGCAATAATATATTATAAAATTAAACTGCTTTATAATGTAAGCGTCAGGTAACATCCGGTGCACAATTATAATTAATAAATTCGAGCTAAATAATTATATATTTACAGGTTTGTGTCCTGATTTTATAAATCCATTTGGAATTTTAGTAGAGCTTCAAAAAATTATGACTGAATATTACATCGACAAAAATTATATAAAGGTAAAAGTTTATAATATTTCTGAGTAATATCACAATAAAAATTCTATTTTAGGTCACGAGTGGGACAGAGAACGAAATATTGTTTGCAGAAAAATTATTTGATTCACACCTGCTGAATTTACAGAAATTTGTGTTTGAAGAAGACGATTTGCTTGATTTAAGAGGTAAATTATTTGATCAAATTATTGGGTACTTTTGAACTAATGCATGATAATTTGTGATTATTGTATAGATATGTCAAGTTCCTTCTCGGACGAAAATGTCGATCCTGAAGATGAAAATTCGCAATTTTATGCATCCGATAGTGACGAAGAATTTGTATTGGATTATCCCGAAAAGAAGCCTCGCTGTGAAATTTAAAATGCAAGAAAGATCCAGATTATTAGATTATGGGACCTAAATCCAAAATGGAACTGGGAAACTTTAAGACGTAAAGGAGCAAAAGAAATTCCAAACAAGTCAACAGCGTACACATGGAGTTCTCAAGCACATCTTGGGGATAACAAGATTCAGAAATACAAAAAAATCAACGATCTTGTGTATGCCGAACTTATGGAAGCAAGGCAATCCCACAAAATAAAAGTTTTATTTCTCCTGTTTTCATAATTAACACAAGAGATTAAATTACGCTACAAATTCGTAGGGGATGGGTTGGAGGAGTTGGGGAGCGTTGCCTTTTGTGCTGACAAAATGGGCTAATCTTGGCTGTTTAGGCTGTCGCTTGCAAACGACACTGATTCCTTTCGTCCTCGCATCCCTCTTCAATTTCTCGTTCTCTTGAACTCGGTCCAAGAAGTCGGTACGACACTTGGAATGAGTGACATGCTCAACTCGGACGTTAATCCTCTTGGCCAAAATCTTGCCACGGATCTTCTTATTGACAATAACGCCAAGAGCCCTCTTCGTCACATTATAAACGCGCCCCGTCTTTCCATGATAGTACCTGTAAGGCATACCGCTTTGTACGGCACCATTGTCGGAAATTCCATTCGGAATTTAATATCTTAAATCGTCGGAAAATCGGGGAATCGTCGGAAACGTTTTTGTATGTTTGCAGGAAGCTGGTGGGAAACTTGGACCACATGTTAAGAAAGATGTAGAGTCATACCTCCCTACGAACATTACATTGACATGCAGCACATCGGGAAAATTATCCACCTCGTTGAATGAATATTTTCTTGAAAAACAAGTTGTTCCTGCAGTGACAAAAGATTTTCTTTGGATTCTGGACAGCTGGACCGGTCAAACTAATCTACAATCCTATAATAAGTTTTTCGGAGAAAACAATGGAATGCCAGAAATCACGGTCAAGATAATTCCTGAGAAATGTACACCACTTGCGCAGCCACTTGACACTACCTTTCACCGTCAGTTAAAATATCTTGCTCGAGAAATTTTACAGGCCTCGAAGTTCTCATAAACGTTAATGGAATCAGCCAGGAGGATAATTGGACAACAAGAAAAGGAGTTTTGAAGTTGCAATCACTTCTTCATTTTCTTATTTCCGCCCCTATATTCAAACCAATGATAAAATATTCTTGGTACTCAAGTGGGTTGTCTGACGTTAAAGAGCCATTTTTAAACGCAAATGAGGTGTGCTTTACTTTTTTAGATGGTGACTCCAGAAAGTGCCAAATGATAGACTGTGAAATGCAAAGATTTATTAAATGTTCATGGTGTCGTAAAGTTATCTGTATTCATGAGTAATGGATTACTAATCATTTCAACTTTTGCGAAAATTCCCCATTTTAGATTATTTGTTATAAAATTTATTTCAGCACTGTGAATTATATATGTAATTTAATTAATTATTAATGTACATTAAAAATTTATGATGCTCTTCTTAACATAAATATGTGTGTGAAAATTGAGATATGTGCTAGATCACTTCTTTAAATATTAAATTAATATTGCACGTGGTAACAATAATAGTTATTTTATGTTTAAATTAATTAAGGGCAAAAAAATCCAAGCAAAAAGATAGAGCGCTGCCAGGGTTCGAACTCGAATACATCTGCTGCAAAACCAAACCCACAAGCCATTGCGCCACCGCGTCGATATGCCGGGGCAATGTGACAAGTTTTTCCCTTGAATTTACATGTGCACAGCGTTTAATATTGGGTTACCCAAAATTAGTACAATGGCGTATGTAAGGAACTTTCTCCTTGTTTAAGGCAGCCAACAAATTAAATAGTAGGACATCAGGACTTGCGTAGTTTTTCAGATTATCCATAAACACTCTTTGGCTTCATGGATAATGGCCTCAGTCTCGTACAGAGTGGCTGGAAGGAATAAAAATTAAGCACAAAATCTCACCTGAAAATAGGCGTACAAAGAATATGCACACATTCTAATTTGTGCTTCCAAGTTGATTCCTTGCTCAATTTGGTTTCTGGATTCCTTCACCATTTTAACAAATTTTCTCACCTGGGCCAATCGAAAGGACAAGGGATGAGGTTTTCCTTAATTGAATTCATTTCTTGCCACTGTGATGATAAATTTTAATTAATTGTGAATGGTTGGAGGTGTAAAAATGATATATGAAAAGTTGCAGCTTCAACGTAACTTCCTTTTTGCATGACATTTATTCAAATCTGAGCTACCGGTTTCGCATGTTATTGTGGCATCATCAGGCTAAATACACGTAAATAATGAAAATCCTTAAGTACCATATAATTTAAAAAATCCTTAAGTACCATATAATTTAAAAAAATAATTATTATTAATTATCATAAGACCAAATACCAATAATCAAACTCACCTCAATTTGAGTTCAATAAAATTAATATAAAATTAATTACATTCAGGTCCTTTTCGTAATTGTATTTATAGTGGGAAATCTATAATTCACCAGACTGATGTATATTTTTTGTTACAATTGCAATTTTCTGTGTGGTAAATTACCTGTAATATTTATTTTACTTCTCTTAAATTAGTAAATAAAAATAAAAATAAAACTAAAAATACGTATATCAGGGAAGAAAAGAAAGGAAAAAATTACAAGTATTCATATTATTATTACATAGATGGCATCAAGACTATCTACATTCGTTGTGCGTTTCTTGTTATTTTTTCTAGAGAATTTGGAATTGAAAACCCCATTTTAATATTAATATGATTTTTCAAATTTTTGCCGTTAAAATAATTACTTAATTTGCTATAAAAGTACCTTAAAATTAAGTATTTCATATCTGGAATTTTATAGAACGGAAATATAATGAACGTGTCGTTTGCAACAGAGACAGGCATAATATTATTTGTAGTACAGTTATTATATCTTAACAGAATCTCAGGATTATGTACACTCAGATAATTGATTAATAATTTACTTTTGGGTTTTAGCAGTTGTAATCTATCAATTTTAGATAACCTTAGATAATGAGAATTAAGTAATTTCAAAGGATAGCCTCTCATGGAAAAAGTATGAAATAATTTCATAATGTCTGATTTTGCTACGTTTAAGCTATGTTTAAATTCTTCAATGCAAAAGTGAATATGACTATGAGTTTTATAACTTTTTCGAAACAGGCGTCCAGCGACGTGGTGCTTTTTGATGAAACCTGCTTGATACTGCTGTGTGTATGAATGTACTTAGAAAAATATGAACTCAAATTAGAGACGATCGTCTCACCAAAGACGGGAATACGAATGAGAAAACTGTCCATTAAAAGATGAACTGTTTTCACTACTGGAAGAAAAAATGTTGTACTCGAGCGTTACATGAGTACATACATAAATGCATATACATACACATACATATTTCACTCTTACAGGGTGCCAGATTTTTTCATCTCACGTACTCATGTAGTGTACAAGAAAATCTATCAGAATTTGTGAAAATAAACGATACATGAATGAATATCACCACTTAAAAATTATATCGTCATGTTTATATGTTAAATAAAGGGTGAATCAGGCTACTAATTAAATTGCAAACATTAGGATGGTCCTAACTTTAACCTGTATGCGAACCATGGATCTTTCTGCAAGATTAGTATATTGCATTTATGTATGCATATTGGGTATACATAAGGTACACATGTCCTAGTACACACATTTATGCACATAAAGCACATAAATTGTTGTCATACTTATCAAACAAGCTCTCTATAATTTCCTCCTCAAAAAAGAACTTGGGAGTATTAATAAAAGGGTGGACATCTCTTAAATACACATTTCTAAGTCGTTTCGTATTTGTGGTGTAACTATCCACATTGGCGAGAGGTAAACGTGTTTGGCTAAATTGACGTACATTGTGGTATATATGAATAAGCAAAATGGTGATTCGCTAAAAACTTATTTAGTAACTTTTGAGGGACACTGCCTTAAACGCCTAACTAACGGTTCACGTTTTGTAGAACCTTTTTCGGGAATTCGGACCGTTTTTCTTTCGGTTTGTCAATGAATTACTTGATTTTTTCCTAGTACATCGTCTCACCCTTCTATTCCGTTCTACATAATCTGGATGGTGGTAGTCATGGTGTGAGGAACTGTAGCTGCTGATATCGATTGATTCATCATCATCATATGCTGAGCTGTCCGAGTCAGATAAGTCCTGCCATTCAGAGTCGGAATTGTTTGCTTTTTCTAGATAAACGCGTCCAGGCACCGGCCCTCTTATTTGTCTCTCGTAGTAATCCACATCATTTTGTTCCTTGTCAATCTCGTCATCACTGTAATTACGACAAAACAAAGCAAAACGGATGCGTTTAATTTAATGGTGCTAATATACATACATACGCATCAATTCAACACAGCCAGGAATTAATTTATTAATTTTTAATATGGATTAAATATCATGCACTGTATACTTACGAACATAATACGACATGGTAGATGACGAGATATTTTATGATTATATATTATATGATTTTTTAATTGTGTCTCTGAAGAGAAACAACGCCCCAGGCAGATGCAACATTGATATTTTCTGACCGTCCTTGGCGTGTCAATTATTTGTACGCCGGGGGTGATTTGTGTAATCCATTACTTCTTTAATTTCATTTGGCTGAGGTGGGGTTTCTGACGAAGACTTGTTTGTGTAGGGGAAAGTATCCGACAGCATTTCATGACTTTGATGGAGCCATACGTTCGAGTAGTCGTCTACTTTCGTACTTGAGCACATTGTAACAATATCTTCCAAGCCAGCAAGAGGCAAACCCCAGTTTGATTCGGCCATTTGGAGCAGGTCATTCACTGAACAAAAGCCACTAGAATCTCCACAAGGTAAGTCACTGAAAACGTCGCTAAAATTTCCTAAAATTGAACTATTCAGGGAATTATTTTCAGAATTAACTTCCTTTGACCCAGATTGGTTTGTGTTGAAGGCGAGAATGTTAAACGATGGAAAAATCTTTTCATAGTCTTCTTCAAATGATGTACTCATTTGTGGAGGGTAATTTTCCTGGATGACAATATGTTCGCGAGAATGGGGCAATTCTCCGGTTGAGGATTTCGTGTCATTGACGGAATAGTAATTTTCACCTTCCGAACCGATAGCATGGTCATGGATGTCATCTCCCAGCAACATATTAGAAATATTAGTTGTAGCATTATCAACCGCTTCCCCAAAACTAATGCCAGGCTCATCACTTTCAGCCTGATTAGGTTCTTGCAACTCGCTTTGGGCAGTGTCCATATCACAGAATGAGTTGTCCCCCGTTGAGTTGGTAAGCTCTTTAGTGGTGGCTCCATTCTGATTCGAATTGGTTCTTGGACTTTTGCCTTCTTGTTGCGATTCGAACGAATTATTGGCAGTAAGCTCGTCTTTTAATGTTGTAGGAGATTGTTCTTGGTATTCAGGAAATTCAAACCTCTTGTTTGTGTACATTGTAGCCGTTGGACGGAAGCAGGTGACCTCATCTTCCTCGTCAACGCGAGGAGGCAACGATGAGGCAGAATTGATATGAGGAATTGATCAACGACTTCTTTGTTCGCTCCCACACTCTTTTACGAGGTGACTTTTGTAAAGTTGGTCTTTACTTTCAAACATTGAGCTGGTGTTGCGTGGTTGAAAATTTATTGCTTTATACGTATGCGATGGAATATTGAAGGTGCTACGAACTATAATTTTTTCGAAGATCATTTCGTCGTCTTCTTCTTCTATACAGTTTGCGCCACCATCTCCCCCCACCCTATGGTCGCAATCCGTTTGAACTTCTGCCATGGTAAGTCCACGTAAGTTTATCTTCTTCTCTTACAAGTTCTGCAACACCAGAATAGAATTATATTAATTAAACTGTAAACCAATTATAGCTCCACCTTATACAATTTTACACTAATTGTAATTATTAAAATATTACAATTCTACTTTGACAAGAAGCGTTCGACTTTCCCAAACATCACCGTCGGAGAAAAAATCCCATCCAATATTACATAAAATAGTCCTGCAAATTATCAAAGCCATTGTACACCCTTCATTTCAAGAATATACCAAAACCTTGTAATAACAATAGGCAGCTTGCATAAATACTCCTGTAAACTATTTTCGTAGCAACGTGATCATGTTTTCACGTTGCGGAGGGTGATAGTTTTCAAAAAAACAATAAACGTGACCCGTAGCCAGGCATTCGTAATTTTTCACGTTTTTACGTAATTTCCTCCATCGTTACATTCAAAAACGGACGTAGAAATTTACTTTTCACGGACCAACTGTTCCAAAAATAAAATAGTTTGAGAGTTTAACAAGGTACAAATTGTCGTTTTTTCCTTACCCAAATTAACTTGGATCGCGACCCTGATAACGACTCCAGTCAAATGAAACGAGATGATCCAAACACAGTATATTTACTAAAGGGTCGTTGTATTCGTATTACACATTGCTATTATCAAACCCAAGTCGTAAGGGTGCAGGCTAAAAATATTATTCCTGGAATTTGATTTTAGAATGCATGCGAGCGTACTAGCTTTTCCAATGTTGCTACTACTCATTTACTCAGTTGCATACACTCGCATGAATTCTAAAGGTCAAATTCCAGGAATAATATTTTTAGCCTGCTCCCTTAAGCTTGGGTTTTATACTAGCACTGCAGTCAAAGAAGCTTTCGTAGTTGGAGTTTCCATTCCACTCTGTGTTACATTTTGCCGTTCACTTATTATTGCACTTCGAGTGAAGGAAACCCATATCGCTCGCTCATATTCCCCCTTTTCCTTTTTAACAATAAACCCAATTTATTTATATCAGTTACAATTCACCACGTTTACCAAGTGGTCCACTGGTTTTGCTGTGATGTGACGAAGTGGTGACTCGACCATTTTTCTACTTAACCCAACACAAATAATAAGTACTCGTCATCATCTCGGCACTTCGCGCCTTTAAACCACCGGACGGTACATATTCCAGGGCCTTTCGCGCCTTAAAGCTTCCTCTCCCCACCAACTTGGCGATAGTTATTCCACCCCCTCTTTTTATTTATGACTCACTATTCACTTACTAACAATGCGAAGGAAAACTGTGTTCAGAAACATATTTATATGACGTTCTTCTTACTTCATAAGAAAAAAAAATGACACGTACAACAAAATTTATTATGTATTTATGTATGTATTTTAAGACCAACGAGACTTTTGTATATACAAAATTTATGAATACATAGAGTATAAATTAAGCTTATTCATGAATATGTAGATTATCGATGTAATTGTCGCTGATTTATTAGATGCATACATTTCTGTTTATGTAAACGTACAACTGTGTTTGACAAAGAAAAAAAACAGTTTGTAGGCATTAGCTGTGACTTCATTTTGCATCGTTCTCCTGAATGAAAGCACCAGCAAGATCGTTCAAATTCTCAGATTCTGACATCCAAAGAACAATTTTGTAAGGATCAGAGGCACTCAAAATAATCCTATCGACCTGAAAGAAATAGACAAGCACATGATAAGCAAAACTTATTTAGTATGAAAACAAATAAACTTAGTAAAATAAAAGGGATATGAATTATGTAGGTTGGTTCATACCATTTGCAATTGCAGTGGGCTGAACAGCGCTTTCTCTAACTATAAGTCCTTGTCAGGTTTGATGTGAGAAATCAACGTGGGAGTAGCGTCAAGAATGACACGAGCACTGTAGATCGGGTCCTAAGTGAAAATAAAGGCATAATTTGTTTTACAAATCGAAGACAAGTGAAACCATATTTCGACCGGCAACAATAATTTTTACATTGTGATAAATAATTAAAAATTACTTCATGAGAAATTCATTCACATTCAACATATCTGTGTAAGGAATATCGCGACTGTCCCCATAGTCCACAAAGTACACAGTAAATAGCTCGCCCATTACTTTGAGAACACGTCTTCTGTAAAATTGACCGTCGGCATAATTGCCCAATACCATTTGATATAGACCCCCAACTATTGGGGGTCCCGTCAATGGTTCGGTCTTCACAGAATATATCTTATCCATGTAGTTATTTAGGTCCGCTTCGTCTTCCTCAGCAACGATTTGGATCAAATTGACATTCCAAACATAGCAGACCTTAACCATAGCGCTGTCGATCAAGTTCTTTGAGTATTTGCAAGATTGCCACATGAACCCCTTTTCTTTTTCAAGAGCAGGCGCGGAGGAGGGTTCAGTTTTTTGTGGTTTCTGCACAAGTTGAGGTTCTGGAGCAATTTCGCAGTCAGAGTGCTTCGATTCTGGGGCAGTCATTGATTGTTTTATATTCTTGACCTCTTCTATTGTCTCGATGGCCTCAGGCTTTTTTTCGAGATCAACACATTTAGTGACTTTGAATGGATTGATCATCATTGGGGTCCAGAGTTTTGATGCATCAGAAGCCACTTTCAAATTGGATTTCGAAATATTCAACTTGTTATCAGTCAGTTTGATCTCAGCGTCTTCTACCACACTAGTGGATTCACAACATCGTACGAGTTAGCTTCCAATTTAATATTGTTGACAGCAGGAGGGGAATCTTTGACTTCGTTGTAGTCCTCGTTATCAGTGGTATTTACAACGGAAAACCATGTAATGCCATCAAATTGTATAATTATAATAATAAATAAAAAAAATCGCGGAAAAAAGTGACTGTTATTTACATTGGTATAATTTTCCTTGCAGGCGCTCTTTTATCTTCCTTACTACAACCTCCAGTGCAGAAAACAATTCCAGTGATACGATGTTGAAATCCAACCAACTGGTTGCAACATTTGCATTCAAGAGCTCTGAATTCCCGGAAATACATATGAAATCACCTCCTAGTATGTAGAGGGATTTAATAAATAAATACACCAGGCCGCGTCAGAGGTCATACATATATATAAAAAGTGCGTTAGTAAAAAAAATATCACTTACAGGAGGCGGTAGTAGTAAAGGCATAGCAATAGCAGCCGACTCCATTCTTGGAGACTCCATTTGATCTCGCAAACCAACTTTTGATTTTCACCTGCTTTCCCTAAAGCTGGTAAAAAATTGGACTTTGGAAAAAGCAATTATAAATTTATGACAAATTGATTGTACTTAATTATTATGGCTTATTAGTAGCTAAACAAGGCGACGTTTTGGATACGAATCTTCGTATAGACACGTCGGTTTTTGTAAGAAAACACGGCATTGGTTACAAAATCCGTGCAACATTTGCCACAAATTCGGTTACAATAGTCGGTTTGCGGCCCTCCAGTGGTTTTTAACATACAGGCCAAAATGTGCCAATTTTAGCCAATTTTGTAGCATTCAATTTGTGATCAAAACTTAGCCAAATCTGGACAAATTGGGCTTCAAATAATTCATAAAATTAGTTTTGGTTAAAATGTTCCAACTTTACCCAATTTGGGCAGCAGTGTCCAAAATTAGCCAAATTTGCTAAATTACGCTGCTATTTATGCGGTATTAGTTACAGAATTATGCTTCCTTAATTACTCAACCTAAACACTGACCTAATTCCGCGCGAAAATAGTGTTGGGTATTTATGTATGTTTTTTGTGAAATTGGAGTTGTCAGAGGTCTATAAAACAATGTCGAAAAAATTGGTCGAAAAATGACGAAGATATGGCCCCCGAAGTCGACCGTCTCAATAAGCACTTTTCCGGAGGAAGATCGTCACACACAAAAATTTTTGACAAGTTTAAATTATCCGGATATCGTGTTTCTCGAAGAGCAGTGTCTACTGTACTTAGTTCCGTTGGAATTACGAGAAAATCTTAATTAGCAGGACTCCCATCGCCAAAAGAGTTTGAGCCCCCAAAATTGGTGTCGCTTACCGTTTTTCGAAGAATTGACGCCCTGACAAGGAAGCAAAACCTTTCGACCAAAACCAAATTAAAAAAGTCGTGAAAATATCTCAGTCACACGTTATTACGGCCATTAAGAACAAATGACACACAACAAGGACACAGGATGTAGCCGAATAGAAACAAAAGTTTGGGACTTCTATTTTTCCTAACTCCGAGATACCTATGAAGAGTCCTGATGTCAGTCCTTTTGATTTTTATGGCTTTGGAACGTTCAAACAGAAGCTTCATTCCACACGAGTTACAACTTTTGATGACTTTGGAAAAAAGTGGTGAGTGGATGAAGATTACCCTCGAAAATATAGGAAATCTAATTAATTCGTGGAAACGGCGATGTAGGCAAGTTAGCTAGAGGCCTTGGGAACACGTTGAACAAACGAAACAAATTTATTGACGTCGACTACACTTCTAAGGTCAGTGTTTAGGTTGAGTAATTAAGGAAGCAGAATTCTCGGTAAGTCACGATTGTCTTGTCCGACTTATTATAACCTTTTGAGTAAATCACGAAATCATGCGTTTAAGTTTTCGCTGGATAACTACACGTGCAGTAATATATGTGTACATACCACAGAAAATTGATTTACGCAATCTAATAATTTACGAAATTTATTGCACATGAGTAGTCATTAATATTATTTTCGGTCGTTTAACCTCTAGCCGAAGTATTGCCTAAATTTTAGCTTTGTTTTCCAATTAAAAAAAATTTTGATCATTAAATAAGACTCTTTAAAATGCAGCAAACCGAGTATTGTAACCGAATTTGTGACAAATGTTGCACGGATTTTGTAACCAATGCCGTGTTTTTTAAGCAACAATTTGAGAATAACACATTCAGAGTTGCGGTGATTAGGTAATGGGCTATCAAGAATTACAAAATTTAACTCACATTTTATATAGATTGCGATTCCACCACCTTTATTATCTGAATGGTCTTCTCTGATTAAATTATATCCGTCAATTTGGAACATAGAAGATAAGTCACGTGTCGAATCTAAATTAGACTCAGTTAACGCATAAATGTCTAATTTACAATCTACCAATAGGCTAATAATATCATCAAACTTATTTCTTACACTGTTGATGTTCTGGTGAGCGATTTTCAGGCCAGCTGTATTTCTTAATTTGACTTGAAGTGACGAGAGAGGAGGAGACCTTGGATTGTCGGTAGTTGGAGAAAGTTGTGTGAGCTCGGCGAGAGTCGTTTTTTTACTGATGGGTGACGAGTTAAGTGGTTAAGGAGGCAGCGGCAACAGATCAGCTTGAGTTGAGAAGGGCGAATTAGAAGATGGCAAGTTGTGCAAATTGGGTCTGACATCATAAAACCGTTGTAAGTATATCGTTGTAAGTATATAGGTCGCAGTTGAGACATATCTGAGCATAAAACGGTAGCAAGAGTGTATTTATGGCAAATTAAAATCCAATGGTAAAAAATTAGCTGGAAGTTTCTCGCCTCGAGTAGGCACTTAAAGTGCGTGAGAGCCGCCAGCCCCGCAACAACCGGTCACTCATACTCCGTGCCGGACTCTGAGGGCGTAGAGACGAACCCCCTACACCAGCTGAGTGGTGGGTATCCTTTGTGCCGTGGATGACCCTCAAAAATTGGCAGATGTCTGTATATGTGTAACCAGGAGCGGCTTATTTTGGGGTAGAGCGTAGTTTTTATATATGGAGCAGAGTGAAATAATATTACTTATTTTGGACAAATTAATTCGCATTTCAAAACACTTTGGGAAAAACTTTATCTATCAAATTTATGATAAAACGAGCAGGAGAGAACAGGCTTTCAGATGATATCACAAAGAAAGCTGTGCGATAAATTTGTAATTAATTATCGTAGAAAACAATTTATTAAACAAGGAAGAGGCAGTTTAGCTACTGCCAACAGAGAACTCCCGTAGTGATGATGGCGGCGACGTTGCTGACGTTGACATTACTTTACAGTTTGACATGGAATTGCATTATACAGTTTATTTAGAGTTGTTGTCTGGCGATGAAATGGAACCGGCTACCGATTAACTGCTAAGAACTGTGTGTGTATTTAGCGACTTTTTATTGTTGAGCGATATCATTGCATCAAGGAGAGAAGACACGGGAGTCTGCGGAGTTGTTTGTTTTGTGGTTGACGAACAAATGTATCATTGTAACTTTTACATTGAGTAAAACCCAGTAAAACCCCGGGATAGTGGTTTTTAAGGTAAAACCCCGGGGTAGTGGTTATTAAGGTAAAACCCCGGGTTCTTCCTAACCCTGGTACAAAGCTGAGGGAACCTTTAACCATGTTTCAATTGGCTTTATGTATTTTGTCGCAAATTTTGAATTTTTTGCCCAGTTACTTCTGTTTTCATAGACAAAGCCTTAAAATTTTAAAGTAAATTGCTGGAGGCGATTTCAAGACAAGTAATAAACCTGAATTACATAATTTATCGGATCTGTATTTCTGAAAAAAATGTTGTGCTATCCATAAATTTAATCTTGTTTGGGTTAGCATTGTAATCGAAACATTTAGAAATACTTACTCATTAAAACCCAGTATTCATAAGACCAGGTACATTGCTTTTTCCAGATAAGTACAGGATTTTACCCTACTGAACTACGTTTAACAATAAATCCCATAAATTACTAAAAAATACTCGTGGTATAAAATTGCTTCCGACAAAATATAAAAGCTTATCTTCTAGGCATATTTATGGAACCTTGTGCTTTGTAAAGGAATTTGTTAAACAATATATAATCTATTAATTAAAAGTAAATCAGTACATCACTCTAAAAATTTTTTCACAATTTATGCAGACTCAATTTGTTAAACTGTCTCGCACGATGTCAGACCTGAAAATCACTTAGTGTTATAAGCCTAATTAATCCCCTCATCAAACTAAATCATTTAGGAGGGACACGTGCGACTTTTAGACTCACACATCTTAATGTCCTTATGTTAGTAAAATATCAATTAGCGCATCCACACAAAACTGCCAAATAACACAGGACGTCAATCTATCAAAAACCGTGCCATCTCCCACTTGGATTTTTAATCGAGGACACGATCGTACGAAACGCTTCAACCAAGCAGGGTTTCCCCGTCGAGCGTATAATTTCACTTTATCAATCAGCCTGCTTGATGATACGTAAGGCCAACACAGAATGCGAAAAACGACGTGAATCATGACAAAGAAATCCAACCCTCCAATAACAAATAACACGAGCACCGGCAACGGCAATATAGTTCTGGAAGTAGTCAGAACGTAAAGAGCCATAGTTTCCGTTGTAGTGATGAATACCACTAAAATTGGCATTTGAGGGTTCCTCCAAAAATTATTGTTTAGCTTTTCAACGACTTGGGCTACTCGGTATGACCTAATTATGTTCATCTTCCTGCAAAAACATTTCAATATAGAAATTCTATTTTATGTACATCCACACATGTCATGTATCTCCAATATATATGCATGAGTTCAGCAAAAATGTAGACTCTAAGCTGTGGATTTTAGTTTCGCTACATACAACGCCATGTAAACGTACATAAAATGCATTGCTGCTTCAAATTCTCGACAATTAGAAACTCATACACTCAAGGTTCTTAATCCTTCAACTTGTACGTATCTCTTAATTTTTCGGAACCTTTGTGGCAACAATGCATCAAGAATTCTGAAATTAACACGAATAGCCATTCTGGGCACTTTCCTTACGATGGAATACCATTATTGTCACAAACCATAATGTGTTCTAATTTATAGAAAAACTTCACACCTTTCCAAAATTAGAACCAATAGTCGCATCATCTCGGCCGGATGGATGAGTTAGTCTGCCAGCAAGATGACCAGTACACACGTTACGGTCCACCACGTATACGCCTGCCAAACTCCGATAACGATTAACTGAACCAACGACATGTCCACGCTCTTGCTAAACCCATTGTCGCCGGAATTTGAATAATATTATTTAACAAGTTTTATGTAACGAATTTATCATATATGTATTTGTGTGATTAACATTTGAGATTGTGTAGTTGCATAACTGAGACTATTACAGAGCAGTAATATACAGCGCGAGCTACAGTTGGTTCGCTCAGCAGGAGCAATGCACTCATGAAAGGAGATGCGTATTCTGCGGAGACACATCCCATCACGGCCGGGAATGCAAGAAATTCACCGACGCCACAGTTGACCAGCGATGGAACATGGTCAAAGAAAAGAGAGCTTGCTACGGATGTCTCAACTTAGGACACCGTTTCAACGAATGCAGAAATAAACGAGTCTGCAGTAAAAGCGAGTGTGAAGCAATGCATCATCACCTCTACATCAAGAAAAGAAAGCAAGAATTCCAAAACCACGCGAAACGAACGAATCAGAGGAGGAAGAGAAGGAAGAAGAAATTCAGAAAATCGAACAAATCCAATCCTCATATAATGGAGGAAGAATTGGTTACTTGGTCTGCCCCGTCGTAATAGAATCGGCCAAAGGACCGGTGGATGGCTTCGTCGTGTTGGATAGCCTCTCGTCAATAACCACCATGTCAGACGCGACCGCCGAACAGTTAGGGCTGAAGGGTCCAGCCGAACCATTATCCGTTAAAGGGATTAACTCCACAGCCAAGTACCCCATGTCGCAGAAGTTTAAGCTTCACATTCACCATAAGGAGGATAATGCAAGTTTCCCTCTGCAAGTGAAAACCATGCCCAAACTCGATCTTCCCAGCCAATCTCTTCCGCAGTCTGTCCTTTCAAAGTACAAACACTTGCAAGGACTTGGAATTCAGCCGTATGATGATGTCCGTCCTACGCTCATAATTGGTATGGACCACCCACACCTTCATGTGCATTTGGAACACAGGATGGGAAGAAGCCCCAACGCTCCCATTGCAGTTCGAACCAAGCTTGGCTGGATGGTGATTGGGAATCTCAACCCTTACAACAAACAACACTATTCTTTCCTCATGCGCGAAGAAGACGATTTGCACCACATTGTTAAGGATTTTATGTCAAATGAATCCTTTGGAACACTTCCAAGCAACAGCAAGCCAAGAAATAAAGAAGATGTACGAGCTCAATCCATCCTCGACTCAACCCTGCGACGAGTTCAAGACGGGTGGGAGGTTGGATTACTTTGGAGAGAGGATGATGTCACACTTCCAGACTCCAAACCGCTAGCACTCCATCGACTGATGCAAATGGAACGCAAAATGGATCGCGATGCCACATTTGCGAACCAATATGTAACCCGAATAGAAGAATATGTGGGAAAAGGATTCGCACGCAAGTTATCCCCAGAAGAAACTACACAAGTTACTCCGAAGACAAATTACCTCCCACATTTCATGGCCTACAATCCGAAAAAGCCAAAGAAACGCTTTGTGTTCGATGCCGCAGCCAAGGTGAGAGGAAAAAGTCTGAATGACCTCCTCCAAGGACCAGACAAGATGGCATCACTACCAGGAATATTGCTAAAATTCCGTCAACGACCCATTGGAATCACGGCGGACATCGAAGACATGTTCCACCGGGTCAGGGTTCGAAAAGAAGATACGCAGGCTCAACGCTTTCTCTGGCGTGCCCTTGATCGGACCAGAGAACCCGACGAATACGAGATGGGCGTCCTCATATTTGGTGCTACATGCTCGCCTGCATGTGCACAAGAAGCAAAGGACAGGAATGCTGCCGAATTTCAGCATCAACTTCCCCAGGCGTATGATGCTATTGTGAAGAAGCACTACGTTGACGCCCTTTTGGATTCCACTAACACGGTGGAAGAAGCAATCCAACTTCAGCAACAAACTTGTGAAGTTCAGTTAAAGGGAGGATTCAAACTGAGGAACTGGTTATCGAACTCCGTCGAGGTAATGGCTTCCATCCCAGAGGACCTCAGAGCCAGTTCCATGAAGAATTTGGATATGAGTGATGTCCAAATTGAGAGAATTTTGGGAATGTTTTGGAAACCGGACGAAGATACATTTACTTTCTCCATGAACTTTCTCAAAGCCCACCAATCTGTACTACAGGGAGAGAAGATCCCTACAAAACGTGAAGTCCTCGCCCTTGTCATGTCACTTTATGACCCGTTAGGCTTTCTGTCGCTATTCACAGTCAAAGCAAAACTAATCATTCAGCGAGCGCGGAAGAACAATATTGGATGGGATGATCCAATTCCAGTCTCAGCCCAGGAACATTGGAACTCGTGGCTGACCGAACTCAAAAGTATATCAAATTTTATAATCCCACGCTGTTATTCCCCAATTCTGACCACATCAAAACAAGTCCAACTCCACATTTTCGGAGACGCTGGCGAAGAAGCTTATGGAGCTGTCGCTTATCTTCGAATTTCAGGAGAAGATGAGGTGACCACAACTCTCGTCATGGCCAAATCAAAGGTTGCCCCCTTGAAGCAACTCTCCATCCCTCGACTCGAGCTACAAGCAGCAGTGATAGGCGCTCGCATCGCAAAATTCATCACTGAAGAATTAGAAGTACCACTATCCAAAACAATTTATTGGAGTGATAGCAGTACAGTACTTCATTGGATCAGAGCAGAAGGCCGCAGATATCAACAATTTGTTGGCCACCGAGTCGGAGAAATTCACGAGTTGACCAGCACGCAGCAGTGGAGATGGATTCCAACCCACGAAAATGTGGCAGACGAGATGACCCGCATCTCCAAGAAATCCGAATGGGGATAAGAAAGCCGGTGGATAAATGGACCACCTTTCTTGCAACAAGACGAAGCATTTTGGCCGCAGGAGCCAAATCAACCCGAACCGGAAGAGGCGAAAGTGGAGCTCAAAAAAGATCAAATGCTGTCTATTCAAGAGCTGCCACCCGTTATCGATGTGTCAAGATTCTCACAATGGAGAAGACTCATCAGAAGCACGGCGTATGCTCTCAAATTCATACGTATCGTCAAAAAGGAAGAAATCAGAGGGCCAGGTATGTCGGTGCATGACATATCAAAAGCAGAAGAGTGGTGGCGGAAGAAAGTCCAAGCAGACTCGTACTCGAGAGAAGTTGAACTCGTGAAAGCCAACCATGTCCCACCAAAGTCGTCACGACTCCACAAAATTGACCTCTACATCGACCCCGACGGTGTCATGCGAGTGAGAGGCAGATTAGAGAACGCCACCATTCCCATCAATGTGAAACAGCCAGTAGTGTTGGATGCTAAACACCCATATGTACGTCTGCTCATCCTTCACTACCACAACATTTGCGGCCATCACGGTCACGAGAGAATTGGAAATGAAATCAGACAGCAACATTTCATCCCAAGTCTGCGCGCAGCAGTCAGAAGCGCCCAGAATCATTGCCAAGTTTGCCGATTAAGAAGAACTAAGCCACAAGCACCGATCATGGGACAATTACCAAAATTCAGAGTGGAAGGAATTCATCCATTCAACCAGACCGGCCTCGATTACTTTGGCCCGATTGAAGTCATCGTAAAGCGTGGCAGAGAGAAGAGATACGGTGCGCTATTTACTTGTCTCTCTACCAGAGCGATTCACCTGGAAATAGCCGGTTCCCTAAGTACGGATTCATGTATTATGGCCCGGAGAAGATTCGTTGCACGCCGAGGGTGCCCAGCAGTGATCCATTCGGACAATGGAACCAATTTTCATGGCACCAACAATGAGCTCAAGAAAGCCATACTTGAGCTGGACCAGTCCAAGATCGAGGAGGAGTGTCAATCCAGATCAGTTAAGTGGATCTTCCTGCCTCCAGCATCGCCACATTTTGGAGGAAGTTGGGAGAGAATGGTGCGCTCTGTCAAGATCGCATTAGGTGACACCCTTACCCAGAAAATCCTTAACGAAGAAGTTCTCCATACCGTTCTAGTGGAGGCGGAACATACCGTGAACAGTCACCCGCTGACCCATGTTCCAGACGACCCGAGTGACCCAGAAGCTCTCACCCCTAACCACTTCCTGATGGGGCGAACGAGTAATCTTCAGCCGCTTGGCCACTTCTCCAGAGATGACCTGTTTGGTAGGCGTCACTGGCGAATGGTACAGCATTTGGCTAATCATTTTTGGAAGAGATGGGTACGCGAATACCTGCCTACGCTGCTACAACGCGATAAGTGGCAGCAGATAACCCGACCAGTCAAAGAAGGAGATATCGTATTGGAAATCAACCCCAATCTCCCAAGAAATTCATGGCCGAAAGGACGGGTCATCAAAACCTTTCCTGGCAAAGACGGTATCATCAGAGTTGTGGATATCCGTCTCGCAAATGGACACATCTACAAACGCCCTGTCGCCAAGCTTTGTGTCCTCGATGTGCAAAACAGCGACGAAGAAAAGAAGACGTCGCAAACTCCGGCTCCGATTAGTTGTAAATAATTATTTAGGATGGGAGTATGTCGCCGGAATTTGAATAATATTATTTAACAAGTTTTATGTAACGAATTTATCATATATGTATTTGTGTGATTAACATTTGAGATTGTGTAGTTGCATAACTGAGACTATTACAGAGCAGTAATATGCAGCGCGAGCTACAGTTGGTTCGCTCAGCAGGAGCAATGCACTCATTTTCTTGAAATGTTAATATTATTTTTGCCTATCGATTTGTAAGATTTTTGTCAGTTCAAGTAGGAATAATTCTCGGTATTTTATTTGTGTATTTTATGAGTTGTGGGCTTCTACTTAAAAGTGATTGTGATTTGTGAACTCAGTGAACGACATTGAACCTGTGTGAGTGACCTGTGAGCGTCACCCGACTTTATAAAAGGACTTGCCTCAGCCCACAACCTTCAGAACAGATTCAGCCTTTAGCCATAGTCCACGTCAGTTCGTTTGTTAAAACTTATGATTTCTCGTGATAATTGGCCTGTTCTCAATAAAACCTTACATATTCCTTGTTTCTATTAATCCACCGTAGTTTTCGTGAATCATTACCAGCCGGCACTTTTTACGTAGTTTGCGGGGGTAATTTCACACCGGAAATATAGTTCAGGGAAGGGTTAGCTTGGGGGTGAAGGAGAGATTACGCTACGACGATTGCGTGAGCTGTGACGTGTCCACCGAAACGCCAGGGGTCCAACATTATTGAAAAAGGCGACCCTCGTTTTCACCCATTTTTGCATTCTTGCATCACTAGCGATGTAAAGTTTGGAGGCGTGCAGGGCTTAATTAGGCTCAAAACTAATGCAGCAGCCGGGATTAAAATTATGGACAATTTACCGAGTTCACCACACCACAAAACTATTCTTTTCACGTAATTTTTCGCATCTACGCTTAAAACAAGCCGTAACAGTAAATTAATTCCATAAGAAAAAATTGACAAAATTGTGCATAATCTTACCGTGATTTTTTCTACAAACTTTCTCTATAGCTGGGGATTTCCTTAGTAACGTGATGCACTCCGATCTCCTCGATGTTATTAAAATTTGGAATATGTGTGAAATAATTGCCGCATTTCCGAAATATAGGAACACAACTTGTTTCCAAATTGGCAACGTGGTTTCAGTCGAGAATAAAATATTTGTGCAAATATATGCTAAAAACGTGGCAGAATGCAAAGTCATGTTAAGCACAGAGAATAAATTTAGCGCGTATTGAAACAAAGTTTGAATCGGGTATATTTCACCCGATTTTCGACACGCGATTGGAATCGGGAAAGATATGGTGGACCAAACGCGTAGAGTGGAAATTATTTCAAGATACGACGCCGTGTGGGTCGGTTGCACTAGCTGTTTGATGTATTGTTTAAATTGAATTCCTGCGAATTTGATTTTATTCCACATATTTCGAAATTTCTGCATGAAGTAAATTATTACTTCAAATTAAAGGTATTTTATACTTATGTAAAAGCAATAAGCAGTGTACCGCTGTTGGACTGAAGTTTCCAGCGGGAGAAAAGCAAGGAAATTTTGTAGTCTAAAACAACAAAATTTGGATGAAATTAGTCTGGAATTTAAAGAAGTATGTAACAATACCCTGTGAAAAACTTAGTGACTGCGCTAAACAAAGTCGACTTAGCACATCGGTTGGCCCACTTAATTAAAATAACTAAAATTCCGGTCGAACTCTAATGTCTTAATGGGTATGTTAGTCCAGGATTTTGACTACTTCCACAGTTGTTTAATTATACGGTTTGCTAAATCGTCCTCGATCGAGTCCGTGCAGTTTGTGTGATGACAAGTTGTTGCTTAGTCCTTGCATGATTTTCTACATGGCTTAATTTGGTTAACCCAGTTGGCGGGGTCGTCTAGTTCTTTAAGACGTTACTTCATGCAGTGTGACACGAAACTTCGACCCGATGCAGAGCTCCACGCCGATACATAGTTCGGCGGCGGCGGCGTGAGGAGTAAAAATCCACGGCGGCGGCGGCGCGCCGTTGGGCTAGTCGGCGGCGGCGCGCCGATCACTTTCTGCTTCGGAAATTTTTCAGACCCTTAATCCTGACGTAAACACACGTTTTTTTTCACGTTTCATGTCATTATAAAATATTATTTTTGCTAAATCCAAATTTTTTTATGGAAGGTATTTGCTAATCAGTACCTAGGTTTGTATCGTTGTATATGCTTGAAAATTGTTTGTAAAACTTCTTGGATCACACCATATTTGAACAAAATTATACAAATTACTTGATCTTAAGCTGTTCTAGTTTTTATGATCTCCAACATAGTTTTACCCAAAGTGCGATACGGCGGTCGAAGTGTTTTATATAATTGTATTGTAAGTAATTGTGCGATAGTAAAATTTCCAACTTGGCAGGATCGGGTCTGGTCGTTCGTCTTGTTAAGGTTATACAATTCTGTTCATATAAATACACAAGAAGCCAAAAGTTCTCAACATTTGTAGGCTAACCTTGGAATTCCGAATACAAATTTTTCACCGTGAGTGGGATGTGAGTGGCCAATCCACCGTTAGTCAATGGACCACTTACATTCTCTACTTCAGAATACGAAACAGAGTTGTAACCCATACTCAGGGTCAAAAATTCGTATTCAGAATTCCATCGTAAGATGCAGTTGTGAGTGAGAACACGCCGACCGATCCATTATTAACTAAGTCATCAGAATGAGGTACCCCCTAGCCGTCCAGCCGTCCATCGCACCCCTTAGCCGTCCAGCCGTCCAGCCGTCCAGCTGTCCATCGCACCCCTTAGCCGTCTCACGTCACCCCAAAAAATTTCTCAGGTTACCCCAAAAAATATCTCAGGTCACCCCAAAATTGTCCCAATGTTCCCCAAAAAATATCTCAGGTCAACCCAATAATTGTCCCAATGTTCCCCAAAATTTTCCCAATGTTCCCCAAAATTGTCCCCATGTTCCCCAAAAAATATCTCAGGTCACCCCAAAATTGTCCCAATGTTCCCCAAAATTGTCCCAATGTTCCACAAAATTGTCCCAATGTTCCCCAAAATTGTCCCAATGTTCCCCAAAATTGTCCCAATGTTCCCCAAAATTGTCCCAATGTTCCCCAAAATTGTCACAATGTTCCTTAAAAAATATCTCAGGTCACCCCAAAATTGTCCCAATGTTCCCCAAAAATTTCTCATCTCACCCCAAAATCGACCAGTCCAGCCGTCCAGCGCCATCTTAGCCGTCCAGCTTACCCCCTAGCTGTCCCGCCGTCCAGCCGTCACAAAAATTTCAAACCACTCCATATTCAAGAAATTTCAAATTACCTCAATTTATAAAAATTTCATTTTGCCTCTAGGTTTGGCTTGGGTTCAATGGACACAAATTTCCAAAGTTTTTTCCCAGTCTTAAAAATGGGAAAGAAGTGAAAGGACGGTATCTGGTATAGTGATAGTTTTGGGCTAAATTTTCCATTAATTTGCAGTCAATAATTCACTCAATTTAGAATAAGTATTGAACCTTACAATTAATCACCACAACGCTGGCCAGGATTAGTAGTATTACACGTGGCATGGTTCGTATCTCGTGAATTATTCACTATCGAACTAATTTAGTTACTTCAACTCTGTTCCACAACTATTTGGGCAATGAGCGTAAGTTTTACTTTAAACTTTGATTTCCAATAGTTATGTTGTACACATTAATTCGACGAGAGGCATACATTATTACAACTTTCCCACACATAAGTGATTTCAAAATTAGCACATCACATCGTGTTGTGGTAATATTGCTTTGTTTTGGTTACAATGATAAGAGAAAGGGAAAAGCATATGTAGTTTCCGGGCGAGAGTTATTCACACGGCAAATAAAAAATATGCATTCACATGAAGCAGGGACACGAAAGCAATTCCCATGTAAGGCATATCTTAATTTAGAAAAATACTAACAATAATGATGCAAGCATGTTCAACCTAGATATTTTACAACGCCTATTGTAATTACAAAAAATAAAAAATAAATTCCCACTACGTAGTGTGTTTCAAGTTATTCATCTGACTGTTTATCAAGAAATAGAATACGAATATGAAATATGTCAGATTCTTTCACAAGTCACTGTGAAGCACAAAAATAAGTTGCAACTGATTTAGCAATTTTTTAAAACCAAAGGTGCTTGAGAAGACATGTTTCTTAAGAAAACAAATTTTTAATTTAATTTAATATTAATTGGGAGAAAAGTATTTTCCTGCAAATTGTGCATAAACATTGCACATGTGTTTCAGGAGAAAATTATCATTGTCGTGTCACTGTTGGCTTATTTCATCATGAATTATAATTTCAATCCCATTCAGTACTAAGAACATTTTCGTTTGTGAATTTTAAAAAAATCGGATCTTTATTGCATATTTATTCTTTAAGGACAAACGTATAATAAAATTGATGTAAACCTAAATTTGTTGGGTAGACTTAATTAATTAGATTAGAGTAATAGAAAATTTTCTCAGGCTGACAAGTGGACGTGAAATTAATGCAAGCAATTTAATAATTATGACGAAGTCCTGTATTTACAGATGTCATACAAATTTGTGGTAAACGATATTTAACGGACGGCGTCAGGCAGGTTATTCGCGATATAAACAGAGAGACGGAACGGGATAAAGGTATAAATGTCGTTACACGGAAATCATTTTATTATGTCCACATATGTAAACATTGTTTAATTTTCGTAAGCAAAACCATGGTTAAGGATTCAAACAAACAGACTACCAAAAGTTGGGCCAAATTATTCCAAATCTCCTTTCTCATATTTCGTAATACTGGAAAGCTGCAGAGCTGGAGTTAGGTTACCTGAATATATGACGAAGCACATCCACCCGTGTGATAAACAGATTTGGGAATACGATGATGAGGATGAACAAGACGAAGATCAAGAGATAAATCCCCATTACCAACCGGCGATGCTGACATACTTAATTGAACACGTGTTTTTACTACAACCAATGTTTGACCATTCAGTAATGGTCTTAAATGGATTGTCAGGTCGGTTGAAATAATTTCCTATACCTAATGTGCGAAATAATTGTACATTTTATATCGTGTAGTGGAAGAGGATACAAACTCGGTTGTGGAAAATTGGAACAAAATCATCAAGAAAGATGAACATGCCAATCGACCTATAAAAATCTCGCGTTTCATACATGAACAGGCGAAAGTAATTAATGGTGTTATTAAAATTATTACCAAGTTATACTAAATTTTTTCAACACCCCTTAGCGAATTACATATGTTGTACATATGTGTATTACATTTAGACCGGATTACCCAATTCGACTTTCTCCTTGCGAAACATGAAACAGCCAAGCAAGGAGGAATGAACAAAGACAAAGCTTCATCTCAACGGGACAACAACCAGACAACGCGGAAGGGGAACAAACAAACAGCAAGAAAGAGTACAGGTAAATCAGAAAGCGGATGGAAATATTAAAAATCTCCTTCGCATATTTGCAAAATCATGTGCAAAATTAATTTATGGGCGTCCCAACAAATTCAAACAAAACCCGGAAGCAAGGGGGCGGTAAATTACCCAATACTGAACCTGAACGCGGACACGAAAATTGAAGGCCACGTAGTCCTCCTAATATCTCTACTGGTTTCACTGTTCTGCATGGACTACCAAGAATTCGTTATGGTGGTAGCATTGAAATTAACAACAACAGTTACGCAATGGTTAACACTTGTAACATCGATAACGTTTTGCGGGTAATTATTATTTTATACCTCGATTTCGAGTCTAACAGTAATAGTATTGGGTTGCTACAGATACTTTTTGTCATGCATTCTATCGACCGTCGAGTCAGAAGTCATATCAAGAGATTTAATGTTTTGGAAACCCCCAAAGGAATACACTTAATGAGAATTTTGTCACATATCGAGAAGGAAGAATTCAAAGAAGCAAGGAAAATAACTTTGGTAAACTTAATGGAATTAAACTTATCAAGTTTGCAGAATGGAGACTTGTTTAATTCAGAAGAAAAATTCCTCGAATCAATACACTTTTTGGTGGAATTCGAACAAACATATATGTGTCCTAACAATTGCCACTTGAGCCGAACTGTTGTAGCTAGTCCAATGGATCTTTCCATTAGGTCTCCTAACCTGTTTGCACTGATGTTAACCACAGAGAAAGAGTCTGGGTGCGACAATTGCAGTAACCCTGATCGACGGGAAGATGGCCCAATGGCAAAGACGACATTTTCCTGGTCTGATTCTGGACCTCCTCCCTTCCTCTGCTATGCGGTGGCATATGGGGGAAATGATTACCCTCCAACTGAATTCGAAGTCCCACTTGCAGAAATCATTCTTGGTGTAAAATACAAATTATTTTCATATACAGTATGATACAATAGTCATTATACGGCTGTCTTCTGTTATAAACGTAAGTTCTATAATTATGACGGACTAAAGCCAGAGAAACTGATTAATTATCGATTGGGAGACGCTCCGGAAGGTCACCGAATCAGTACCGTGTGGATGATTAGGGACTGATTGCTTTCATCAATTCGAAATAGTATTCAAGACTTCGGACTTTTACGCATGAAGTTTTTAAGAAGACAACTGACGATTGGGATTGTGTAAATATAATAGTGTAATAACAGTAGAAGAAGTAATTGAATAAATGTACAGAAAAGTAGCCTCTAATAATTAATAATAGAATAATCCTAAAATAAATATACATTGATGTGTCACGATAAGCCTAGAGTTGTACGCCATTTCTTTTCAAATCTTCATATTTGTTCAAAAATCTTCAAATTCAACTACACAACTAATTTGTTTCAAATTTGCTTTATATTCGAAAACTTTCACATGCATTGGGACAATTTTGGGGAACATTGGGACAATTTTGGGGTGACCTGAGATAGTTTTTGGGGAACATTGGGACAATTTTGGGGAACATTGGGACAATTTTGGGGAACATTGGGACAATTTTGGGGTGACCTGAGATATTTTTTGGGGTAACCTGAGAAATTTTTTGGGGTGACGTGAGACGGCTAAGGGGTGCGATGGACGGCTGGACGGCTGGACGGCTGGACGGCTAAGGGGTGCGATGGACGGCTGGACGGCCAGGGGTGGCCGGCTGGATGGCTAGGGGGTACCTCATGTCATCAGAAGTGAGAGAGGAAGGTTGAGCACCCTTCCTCACCTCCGATTTGCACGAATGGACTCGCTCTAGTCCAGCAGTGCAGGGCCGGCGCATTTATTAACATTCGTTTGACATGGATTTAGTCAGTATTAAAAAAATAAGAAGTTGGTGAATTTTCCACAGTCAACCAACCTCTTAGTTTTTTAAATATTGAATAAATCCATGTCACGCATATACATAAATTAAAGCCAAATAATAATAGAAAAACTTCACTTTGGCTCGAAATTCTTAAATTGCGGTGGGTCCGTTTCATGAACGGATGGAAGACTCTTGCTCCCTTTTTAGTTTAATTAAAAATACCACCACCCCCACCAACTACGGAAATTAAAAAGAAGGATAGGAAAAGTGAGTAAAGTGAAAGAAGAATGAGAAAGTGAAGTGCAAAAAAGTGCAAGGAATTGAAAGACCAAGAAGACAGATAAGCCGGATTCATTCATTTAATCCCAATCACACATTCTAATCACACTTGCTAAATTGTGGTTCGGCGTACTTTTGGTGCGGAAAAATACCGTACCCTACCCGTACCCCGTACCGTATTTTGTACGGCACGGGTACGGTGCGGGATTTCTTAACAATTTTTTTTTGTACGGCACGGGTACGGTGCGGGATTTCTTAACAATTTTTTTTGTACGGCACGGGTACGGTGCGGGATTTCTTAACAATTTTTTTTTGTACGGCACGGGTACGGTGCGGGATTTCTTAACAATTTTTTTGTACGGCACGGGTACGGTACGGGATTTCTTAACAATTTTTCGGTACGGTACGGGTACGGTACGGGAATTGCAATTTATTGCTTCTGAGTCTGGTTTTGTTGCCGTGGAAAATGAGGCATTGAACAACAACCTTGGTTGTTGGTCTGGGGCAACGAAACTCCTCGGCGCTTGCAATAAAAGAACGAGATAAAATCCATGTGGCTTCAACTTCAACATTGCACTGTTCTGTAGTTTCTTATAATTTGACAATAAAATGAAATCTAAAAATCAATCAATAATAATTCCCGTACATCCTACCCCGATGCAGCCACGACTGGTCTTGCAAAGTACCGAGCAAAGTGCCTTAAAAACCTACAAAATTTAAAAAATCGGCCTATAGCAAATATTTTGTTGAACTTGGTTTGGAACAAACTGGGAAAGTTCAATGTATAGTCAACGTTCCAAACTCACGACCAACAAAAGGAAAAACAAAACTCAACTGCTACCCGTGCAAAAAAATTCAAACCTAATTAAATTGTAATATTACTTCTCTACAATTAGTCGGTGTTAACTCTAGTGAAAGAACAACAACCTAGGTTGTTCTTCATAACTTCTTAACTACAACTGTTAATCTGTAGCTGAGTTCTTGTTAAATATTTTTAATAAAAGCATTGAGACAAATATAAGTTGAGTAAAATTATATCCAATTTGACAACATAAAACACCATAGAACGAGGTATTTTTTGGTACGGTGCGGGATTTTTTTATTTTTGGCACGGTACGGGTACGGTACGGGATTTTTTGGATTTTTTGGCACGGTACGGGTACGGTACGGGATTTTTAAAGATTTTTTTTTGGCACGGTACGGGTACGTTACGGGATTTATTGGAATTTTTTTTGGTACGGTGCGGGTACGGTACGGGATTTTTTACAATTTTTTTGTACGGTACGGGAGTTTGTAGAATTTTTTTGGTACGGTGCGGGTGCGGTACGGGATTTGCTGCAATTTTTTTTTGGTACGGTACGGGATTATTGGTTTTTTTTTGTACGGTGCGGGTACGGTATGGCACTGCAATTTAGCAAGTGTGATTCTAATTAAGCACATTCATACATATTTTTTAATTAACAATTTGCATACATACAAAAATATTTTTTTAATTAAGAATTTGCATACATTTTTCATTTAACTTCTTACATACATGCTTACATTTTTTAATCATTTAGAAATTCATTCAAATCATTTATTTTTAATCATACAATAAAAAAGTAAGCAATTCATTTATTCGCTTCAAAAAATATCTCCATTTAGCCATTTATAAATATATTTGTTCAAAAATCTATTCATAGTTTTTAAACATTCATAAAAAATTTCATGCATTAAAAAATTCATTTAGTCCTTTTAATTATGGCATGCAAAGTGGGAGAACATTTGCGGTCATTTCTTGGTGAAGTGAAATGTTCCCCAATTCCTTCGTCCGTCATTGAGTCAAAAATCGAAAAATTATTCATCAAGACATTGTCATTGCAGCAGTCATTGCAGCAGACTATTCCCAACTTGGAAATGGATGACATCTCCCAGGTATGCGACAAATGCATTAAATCTTGTGGACGAAGACGACTCAACCAGTGCCAGAATACACAACATCCAGGGAAGCGGGGCAGACACGAGAAAAAACTTCATTTCGTCACAGCTGAAGAATACTTATCAACTCACAAGTGCCTTGGACTACTCCGAAACGACGGAATATGTCGAAATCCCATCTGTAATCCGCTTTGACTCCTTACAATTCAAAATATGTATATATAAATATAGGAAAACACGAGTGCTTTCTTGAAGTCACTAAATATCTAAGAGTCCAATAAAATCTGAAACACCCTTAACAACGCATCCCGTCCAATCAAAATATTAAAATAAACCTTTTAAACAAATTTTACATATCACAAGTCACAACAAATTCATATGTGTCCAAGCATGTTCCATGGTATGCCTTCTTCCACAGTGGATAACTCTGTAAAAGTGACAAACTTCTTGGCACAAAAGTAACATTCATACTTTCCAATATCATGCCGTCTCTGATGCGAGGCAAAATTTCCTTTTGAGTAGGTCTGATACCCACATGTAGCACATAATTGAAGTTCCTTCTTGTCCGCGGGGTGTATCGTCTCCATGTGACGCTTGAGATGATCTGACCTCGTGAATTTCTTATTGCAAAGGGAGCAGCCATAATTCCTCCGATTTTCATGACTAATTCGGATGTGCTGTTTTAAGCCGTGTGGCGATAGGAAGGTCGACGGACAAAGGTGGCATTGGTAAATAACCCGAGCAGATATTTCCTTATGCGTCATCTGTAAAATATATGCAAAATATGTTATCTGCAAAATTATGTCAGGAAAAGAGTGTAACGCGTATTTTAACATCGAGGATTTTTATACATATAAATAATGCATATATTTATGTCTAGAGGTTCAAAAAACCACTTGTCGCAGTGATATTGTCACGATTTTCAATTGTCCCGATTTGGCTCTTCAACATCGATCGATATTATGTACTCTTTCTTTTTTCCGTTATTTTTACAAAAAAACCTTTACCTCGTGGATTTTCAATTTCCCCACTTTCGCGAAACTCTTCCCACATGTGGAACAGTGGAAGGGTTTTTCCTTTATGTAGATTGGATCCTCGGAATGTGCAGTCCTCACGTGAACCCAAAGATCAGACTTGTTTAGATAGGATTTCACACAGCCGAGTAATTCGCAAGAAAATCGAGGCCGTTCCACCGAGTTGTGCACGGTACGGATATGTCTTCGTAGATTGGTAGGTTTGCAAAATACCCGGTGACAAATGTTACAAGGGAGGCTTTTCCGGCTGGTGCGACATCTCTTGACGGCGACTTGGTTTTTCGGACTTTTTCCATAATTCTGTACAAGATAATACATAAATAAGTGTAAAACACGAGGTAAATAGTTTTAAAAATGTCGTTTTTCTTAATTGTAAACACTCTAAATCACCAGTAGAACAAAATGTGACTGTACCGTGACGTTACAGTTGTTGACTTAAGAGTTTGTGGATAAGAGTTTGTTAATAATGGTTAAAATTTTTAACTAATATTGCGAAAATCCATAACCTCCAGTAATAAAATCTTCACCAGTTTGTAAGTTATAATTTTGTTTAAAGTATATATACAAATAAGTATGTATCGTATAAATTGTAAATTTGACTTACAAACAAGCTCACCTCACTTTTCACCTGCGCATCTGGGTCCGGTTTGACTTCAACCTTAGTGTGAAACGTTCCTGGCCAAGTGGGCTTGGAATCCATCTGTAGTTTAAACAACTTCCTAAAAATAACGCTGTATCAGTTTTTAAGGCGGAAATTACCATTTGGAAATCAAGCTCCTCCTCCGCCGTAACCGGAATCTAAATGACGACCATTATGTATATTTTACCAACAATGTTTATCATTTAAATCCTAAATAACTCTGAAAATTACCATGATCCAACTTAGCGCTTTGCCCAGTAATCCCACCATAGAATCCGCTGCCCTCAAGCTCCCCATCTTCTGAGAACAACTCTTCCTTCACTTCAACTCTAACTTCTGGAGAATCCGAATCGTCGTCGTCGTCAATTAAAAGAGGGTCAGTTATCCACTCCTGGGCTGGAACAGGAAAGAGGTCGCTAATTGGGAAGGATTCCTCCTCCTCTGCCACCTCCGTCTTGAGATCGGCCTCCATGGCGCCCGGCGAATTGTTGCGTGCCAATTTGGAAATTCAATTTATTCCCTGAAATATACTTTTTTTACTTGAGAAAATTCATATTTATATAAACGACTTTAAATTGGCGTAATCAGCACAACGTCGCATGTGGCATAGAAACCAATTTAACAAATTTACCAAACTCTAAAATATTTCTGTCGTGAAGGGATTTGCGAATTAAGTTGTCGCATATTTCGCAAATAGGTACCAAGCTTTGCGAAATGAACACATTTCCGTTTCCTCTTAAACGTTTCGAGCAAATGTATTGCAAAATCTCGAAAACTGGTACTCATTTTACGAAATATACAAACTTTAACGTGAGTACGCCTACGATTCTTCAAATACACAAATCAATTTCTTGCTGAGTAATTGTCGATCTTGTCTGGTAATATTGTATTTATTGAGAATTCAAGTATAAATTATTAAAATCTTACTGAAAATTCACCCTCCGAAAAAAGACGGATCTATTTGTATCCAAACACGTGGAATTGAAGCCTTTGACAGCTCTGGTCTTTATATATGACTCAAAATGAACACTTTAACGAAACGTGATGAACAATGGAATTAAACTATTATTGATAGCCGTGTGATTTTGTAGATGCTGAGAATTATTATGCCTCAAACAGCTGAGGGAAATCCGTTTATTCGTGTCCTCTGATCGGACTCCGGCCGTATTTATATGTTGCTGTATACGCTAAAATTCAGCCACCACCATTGAGACTGGTCGTTGTTTAATATGTGTGAGCATCATTTCCATGAAAATGCAATCATCACGAGTTTGCATGAAAGTACACTCAAAATCACGTTGTAATAAATCCTCAATGGAGAATTCTATGCTTTTTGTGGGTATTTAATAAAGTCTGTAAATCTCTACTAACGTTATTTTTAAATTTCAATTTTAAAAAAGTTTTGGGCATGCTTATATTCGTCCAATATCTTAAATATTCAGCATTGTTGCATTGTACATAACCAGTTAAATTATTTTTGTGCATTTTTAACAGTGTTTCTTTTTGTGCATGCATAGTGCATCAAATGCACAAAAATGCATTAAAATCAGTGTACTCCCAAGCAAAAAAGCACAGCATTTTGCTTTTTTCGTGAAAACAGTAGCTTTTTTGCTTATAAATAATTCTTGCTTTTTTGCTGTTTTCTTAAGATGGGGAGAAGTGAGACGTGTTATTAGTATGTGACAGTATAACAGCAAAAAAGCAGACAGCAAAAAAGCAAACCAGCAAAAAGCAGGAATTTTTTGCTGCTGTTTGCCTTTTGGAGTACACTGATTAAAATGTATTAAAATGCACAAAAATAAATATCGAGGCAGAATGCCGCTAATTTCATATTTCACTTTTATAAACGCTCAACAATAATTAAACATTGCCATTTTCTAACAATCAAAATTTTATTAAGTCGGAAATTACCAAAAATATTTTTAAATTTCAAATATTAGAAAATGGTTTGAAATTGTGTTGAAAAACATCGGAACTTAGCTTAGCATTCGACCAATATCTTAAATATTCACCGTTATTGCATTGTAATCAGTTAAATTATTTTTGTGCATTTTTGTGCATTTTGTGCACTTATCCAGATTTTTGGTGGGTGTTATTCAACGCATAAAAACATTTTTATCCACTAATTTTGTCCAGGTGTCTTTAAACAGCAGAAACACTGATTTTTGTGAATCTTGTGCACTTTTCCGGTTTTTGGTGGCTGTTGCAGAGTGTTGTCTTTATTTAGGCATAGCAAAATTATCCCAACCTGTAACCCTGTAGCTAACTTGCGAAATTGATACCAATTCTTAAATCCCAACTTAACAAATACCTTGACATATTTTTTCGGTTTTTTAAATTTTCATTTTGTGCACCAAAATGGACCGCACAATGTTCATGCAGTCAAAGCACTTTGCAAAGTTAAAAAGACCCACAAAACCAGGTTATAGAAATAAGATTGTAAACCCAACGAGAGAAAGTTTCTAGTTAGAGTTTCTAATCGAACTCAGCCTGGAATACTTAACTCCGTCAGAAAAGTTACATGGGATGGAACTGGATCCCTAGAACCAACAACCCCCAAAAATCAGAAAAACCGACTTTGATCAGAAATCTTTCCCGTGACGAAAAGGTAGTTAACTAACTCAAAATTACCTGAAAAAGATCTTAAATTTAAAACTCTCAGAATGACGATAGTAGTACTGACTGAAATATAATTATGTTTAATACTTATTTTTGTATTATTATTTGCATATAAATACAATGTGATCGACAGCGTTTGATAATTATTGTATTGATGATAAAAGATAGAAATGGTGAGAGTCAGATTGTAATTTATTTCAGGACAGAATCCGTATTTCAGACGCCGACATACATGCATACATTTCTACATAGTGATAAGCTTTAATGACTTCCAAGTTGCAAATACGTATTGGTTTTATTCCATACAACTCACCACTCTGTGAACATAAACGTATTGTGCAGTTAAATATTTATAATTGAATAACACGGTCTTGTATGCAAAGCGGTACACTACATATGTATTTAGTTGATAATAAAATGAGATGGTTTTCCAGTGTAAGCCAATAATGCGCGTTTATTTACAGCAGGAGCTCATTATAGATATACAGGAGGAAATAAACCAAAAGGCATAAATATGTATTTATGTACATACATACATATAGCAATGAACCACAAGATCAAACACGTACAATACACAATCCGAGCTGAATGTGTAGGCATCATTGAATTCAATTATCAGTAAGGGGACGTACACAAACGTGAGAGGGGAGTGAGGGGGTCTAAGGCTCAAATGACATCGTCCCTATGTGACACATGTTAAAGGAGGAAGGGGGTCTGAAAAAAGCGGATATTTGCTTCACATAATTTATGCACTAACCCTACATACATAATTCCATTTGAATGCAAAACAAGGTTTGTTAAATTGTATAATATTAATTTACGCAATCTCAACATTCTCAAAGTCTGACACGTGCTGGAGTGGACAATATTCCAGAATCATTTGTAAATATCATCCACGTAATTATAACTCTAAAACCATTATACATAATGATAATGAAATTTTTGAATGCATTCTATTTTTTTTAATTTGTTAAAGTAGATTGTTATTTTATGTATTTAAGACGTGAACGTCTTCCGTTATTTATTGGAATTTGTCAGTGACGGAAGTGAAAGGAATGAACGTAGAAAATTTATTTTTGAAGAGTTTATTTGTCATACTAATTTGGTCGTAGGAAACTGTGTGTTTAACATGGCTTGCTTTCGCATTGTTACGGATTAAGTTTTTCCACACTGTTTGACTTCAGAGCATGCACCGCATACGCGACAGGTTTAAAGGAATCATTCCAATGCCACACGTTCAGTAGAGGATTATAAAAACATCCTCGGACTTCTCTTATCTCGCAGTTATCTAGAAAAAAAAGCAAATATCATTTTTCATTGATCTTACACCTACCCAAACACAAATTAGTTTCCTCACTTTCTCTAAACATTCTCAGCGTGTCTTTCAAGTCCACTAGTTTCTCGTAGTGATGCGTTCCAACGGGAAATATTTGTAGGACGTGTTCCATCAGTAGAATTAAAGTCATCCAAGAAAACACCGATTTCCCAGGAGTTGACAAATAGATTGATCCGCCCGACTAAAAACGAAAAAATTTAACAAAAAATTCAACCCATCATAAAAAAAATTGAATTTATTACAATTTTTATAAACACCTTTGCCGCACTGATGGCATATTTTAGAAATTCTTGCGGATTATCGACATGTTCAATCACTTCAGACATGACGACCGTGTCAAAATTTGGGTTTGAATTTTGCGTCACGTAATTTTCAATAGTGTCCACTAAATAGGTGACTTTCCCCTCGAGATGTTTGGGTAGATGGGCCCTCGCAATTTGTACCAAATTAGAGTTTGGCTCCAATCCGACAATTTCTATGGCGTCATCGCTCCATCCTAAGGTGTGAAAATGTTCGGCCAACCCCTCAGAAAGAAACCCACCGCCACACCCAATGTCCAGGATTCTTCGTTTCTTTCCGTCCCTTGAAGAATCTAAGGTGCTGGCGATATACGGAACTCTATTTATTCGAAGGAAATATGTTTCAATGATTGGTTGTTGATTTCAAACAATAGTAAATTTGTCAATAAAATACAGGCAGACAAAATAAATAAATCTGTGTAAAATATAATCTAAAATTTTTTTGGTCATGAATTTGCCACATTTTTCCTCAAAATTATTTAAATGTTTACCTAATTGAATTCATGGCATGCAATGATCTCAACGGGCTCGACGGACTCCACCATTCTGCTGATAATTTTCCAAATTTTTCAACTTCATCCAAATTTAAAGTGTTTTTTGATGTTTCCATAATTTCAGTATTTTCCGTGTGTTTGGTTGCTACTCAAATTTTTTAAACTTTATGATAAGCACAAGGTCCGTTTTATTTACGTTGGATAAATTATTTTGTAAATTTACACTTATTTACCAGATGAGAAACATCTGCTTGAAATTATTTGCAGAAAGACCAACCCCACTGAAATCTTCATGATTCACAGGTTTTTATATTTACACAATTTTGTAAAATAATAACATGAATGAGAAATTCGTTTCCAGATGTGTAAAATTAACTGAGATTCACAAAAATCAAGATGAGATATATGAGGCACATGAATTTATTGTCGTCTAAAAACTTACTGCAAGCAACTTCGTCTGGCCTTTTAAGACGGTTTGAATGAGATATTAGGCAGGTTGAGAAAATGAACTTGTAGGTTTTAACCTCAACCTGTAACCCCTGTAACGTCGCAGCTTGATTCTGATTGGTCAATTGAAACCAACTCGTGGCAACCAACCAATCAGAATCAAGCTGCGACGTTACAGGGGTTACAGGTTGAGGTTAAAACCTACAAGTTCATTTTCTCAACCTGCCTATTAACAATAATGACATTACAGAGATGGGTAATTACTGCATTATAATATTGAGTTTGTGAAAATAACTAAAAAATATTTCCAAGGGGAAACACACATTTTTGTGTCATGGTGATGGCATATTTTTCATGACAGCCACCCTCATCGGATGCGAATTTCATACCGATGCCACTCTGGAGTATTCGTGAAATATATATAAAAATATAGGGGAAGAGTTTTAAGATTATTTAAAATAGTTTTCACAACTTGTTCATGCTCAAATCGTGCACTCAGACATACATACAGCCAAACAAAAAGTCAATTCTATAAGGTCATCTTAAAAGGTATAAAACTGTGATTATTTACAAAGATTGCCTTAAGCTTATTGTAAACAAATCGTTCATAAAAAGTGTCTGACAACTTTGTTTGCCAGCCACAGTTTTAGCAGGCTAGTATCAAGGTGATATTAGAACGCAAAAATACCAGACATCTTGTTGACTGGTATTTAGAAGTAAATATGTATTCGCAAAAACTATATGATAGAAAACTCATCAATGTTGAATTAACACTCTTTTCAACTAAACAAAGTAGTGATGACACGAACAATTCACACTAACGCATCCAGCTGATTAAAGTGATTTTTTACTTCAATTTTTTATTGCAATAATTTCCGTATTGACACATTCAACACTTTGCGTAAAGACAAATATGCAACGACAGAATAACGTCCTTGGATTGGAAATTATTTTTACCTATTGTTTAAAATCATGACAACATTTCTTAAATGGATTCTCCAGCATAATTAATTAAATCACAAAAGAAAAATATGTATATTCTTATTTGCTTCTTAAGAAAAGTAATATTTTATTCCGATAATAAAAGCTCTTGTAATTAATTAGTTGTTTTATTCCAAGGTTTTTAAGTAGAATAAATTCCAATAGGGTAATACAAATCTGAATACAAAGTGTTGTCGATAATCGAAATTGAATTTTAAGTGAATTTGTGTTAATTGCAACTGATTTTCTAACCCTGTACATAATAGATAATTATAGTATACGTTGTCATGTACATAAATACATAAACAATAATCACACATACTGAGCCATACCGGCGTCTGGATAAAAGGAGCAAAGCTGTCACAATGGTTTCAGACTTACATATGTACATACGTGAGGAAGATCATGAAAAGTGGTAAAGGAAGAGAAAGAACGCGGCTAGGAGACATTCTGAATGTAAAATTTTTGTAAAATTGCAGAAAATCTAGGCACAAATTAAGCTCCCACGTTGTTTTGTAAATAGAGTATTTACAAAACATAAACAACCTGCAGTGCAGACTCCATATAGCCCGAGTCAGGGTTTGTACATAATAAATATGAATATGTGTATTATGCTATATTGTACTAAATTACAAAGTTTCACAAATTCAAGATTGTATTAGAATCCATTAGAAATCTCCATGTGAAATTTTAGCTTGATTTAAGCGATTTTTAGAAATCGCTATGGATAGCCCCTTAGGGTTCCTCCTCCTGAACTTTCTTCCAATTTAACTTCGTATTATTTCATTAGAAGGCATTACCAACCTCTATGCTAAAATTCAGCTTAATTGAGTGATTTTACAAAATCAGCATGGGTCACCCCACAGGGTACCTCCGAGTCAAAATTTTCAAAATTGTACATCATAAACTCCCATTATAAGCTGTTATCAACTTCCATACCAAATTTCAGCTTAATTGGACGATTTTGAAAAATCAGTTTGGGTGACCCCATAGGGTCCCTCCAAATAAAAATTTTCGCAAAATTCACTTCATATCTTTTCATTAGAAGCCATTAGTTGCCTGTTGAATGTACCAAATTTCTATCAGCTTTCTACGACTATTTTGAAAATTTGATGCATAGTAACAACACCACCTACATGACCCCCACCGGTCGACCACTGGACAGATTTAAACGAAGTGATAATCTCAAATAAATGTCCTGAGAACTTTATTAATGAAGAGTTAATTGATCATTTACTATATACAAGTTCATTATGCAAATTAAAAGTGTATCATTAAAAACATACATAAATAATGTTTAAACTACGTCAAAATTAATTACTTAGTTATTAAAATGTTCTAATTGAACGGATTTGAATTAAATAGTGATTTGATGGTAAACGAAAAACCAAAATATTAACACCTTATGCATTTTAAATAATTTGAATGAAATTCTCATTTAAATTGTTGTTATGCATAGCGAGTTGGACGTTATGCGTCAATATTACTTTAGATAAATTTGTACCTATACAAAATTTCGCTTGATACAAAGTGCATGGGGTTTTTAGATTATTTTTACTCAAGGTAATAATCAAAAGGTTCAGGGGTGACTTGTTGTTCGTCATGCCTTTAAGAATAAGATTATTTTGCACAGGTATGCAAAGTATATTAATTTACATTAGATTAATTTATTTTATTTATAGTAATTAACTGTTTACGCTCTAAGACACCACATTTAGGAGGAGAGACCCTCATATGTCACAACTAAATCGCGTCCCAACTTTGGCCCATAGTAGATTTAGGTTTTTAAAAAATACGTTATGAAGGATTTGACTCCATGGCCCCATTTGAGCCCGCCACACCCACTCAAAGTGGCCCAAAACGCCTGTTTTTGTTCTTTCAAACCTTCACCAAAAATCCAATTTTGATCGGATTTGGATAATTTTTGCATTTTCGTGATCCCAGATAGTTGCTTTATGATATTTCATACAAAACTCAACTTTTTTGAAATTTTGATCTTTTCGAAGAAAAAATTCCCCTCGTCAGGAAATTTTCAAAAATATAAAAATTTTCAGAAAAGTTGAGTTTGGCATCGAATATCATAAGGCAACTATCTGGGATCACGAAAATGCAAAAATTATCCAAATCCGATCAAAATTGGATTTTTGGTGAAGGTTTGAAAGAACAAAAACAGGCGTTTTGGGCCACTTTGAGTGGGTGTGGCGGGCTCAAATGGGGCTATGGAGTCAAATCCTTCAAAACGTATTTTTTAAAAACCTAAATCTACTATGGACCCAAGTTTGGACGCGATTTAGTTGTGACATATGAGGGTCTCTCCTCCTGAGTTATACGTATCCATGCACGCAGATAAGCATACATATATTGATTCTCGCAGCTGCATATGCATGTATGATTTGTATATAGCTTATCCAAAATTTGTTTCAACATTGTTCAACTAATACAATAAAGAGACGAATGTTTTCTTTAATTAGTAAACAATTAGTGTTTTTACAATTTAAAAAGTTTTACAATTCTTACCCTTCTGGTAACAAGTTTGAATTTCTCTGAATTTATTGTCACCCAGATGGTGATAAATCGTAACCAACGCGGTTGAGCCGTATAGTGACTCCGCACGGTGATGATTGATGTAAATTTTATTTTGAGTGTACAGACAACACATTATAACATTTAACAATCTGACTCACACAAGACTCATGTATACTAACATAAATTATTATCAATAGTCATTAAATATTGCATCATTCTATTCTTTGACTGAGTCAAATCAACATCATATTACATCATCACATTGCATCAGGCTCTTTAGTATTGCATATGCAAGTCTGTATAACTGTTCATTTCATTTAAACATCGCATTAAGTCCCATAAAGAACTTCCTCGTGATGTGACTAAATTACTAACTGGAACTAGTAGTGTTATATTCCCGTAAAATTTACTGTCGCATTGAACATTCTCAATTCTTGGAGATTTAGCACTTCAGAAGCATTTCAAATGAATATTAGTACAAACAAAGTAGACCGGTTCCAAGTTATCGAGTCAAGAAATTATTCAACTATCTTGCAGATTTTGAGGGATAGGCTTCCAATATCAGGAGCAGTAAGTTAAATAAAACAAGATCTATTAGGGAGGTTCAGCAAGAGTCAAATTTTGTGATTGTACTGTAAATTTGATTGTAGAGGTACAGGACGTCCTATCTCTACAATCAAAATTACAGTCCCAATCACAAAATTTGACTCTTGCTCAACCTCCCTATTATAAGCCATCACGCCGATATTACTATTGTTTTATGTAATAGATTTATAATGTGGCTGTTACAATTTGCAAAGATAATACAAAGAAAATGGAATGCTATTCATTGGACGGAGAGCTAACTGAGGAAAAGGCAGTAATTTTGATCAATTATATAACAGAGGTTTTATTTTGCTATTATCATACATACATAAATTAATTGTGCACATATTAAAATAATATTAAACTCTTAATTGATAAGGATGTCGGTCAGAACATAAATATTTCGCTGCCATCCAACTTCATAACAATAACTCAAGATTTCAAGGAAGCCCTTCTTTCTACTTGTGCAATCAATTGGACAGGGTCTCACATGTTTGTCGGTATTGAAAGAATCCTAAGTCCTCTTATTGTAGAGATTAGCGCCTTCACTATGGGAAATAGTGTCGACGTAACGCCCACCTTGTCGTATTGGATTTCCCCACAAAAAATTGACGAACTGACAATGCAGTAGGTTTCTTCTTTGCCTTAATTTAAGCAAAACGCAAAATTTATTTATTTTTATTAAATATTTTTTAAGAAAACAAGGGAATATCCAAACAAAACAGTTGGACGTTGGTCATGGTGTCGAATTCTTTATGAAAAACACACCCAACGCTAAATCAGAAGAACGCATACGATCCATGATTACCAATAGTGTATCGATTGGTGCCTATAAAGAGGGGGGAATCGTAGTGGCTGCTGCATTACTGTCTCATCGAGGACAGGTCGGCCCGTTGCTAACTGCACAGGATCACAGACGAAATGGTTACGGGTTAACTTGCATGATTGAGCTGCTGAAGGAAATGAAGAACCAGGGATTCCAAGGGGCAAGTTCGGTTGTCAAGGATAACGTCAAGTCGATAAGACTACATGAAAAGTTGGGAATGACGATGACACATGAGTCGGATTGGATTTCTCATACTAGGGCGGAATAAATAGTTGCTTCTGGTATAGGGGGTTCTGTAAATTGGTTAATTATGGATATGACCATTCCTTACGCTTTACCTATCCTAGTTAGACTTGAATTTTTATTGGTTTACGATAATAATCAGTATGCGAATTAAAAAAGCCCCAAAATAAAATTTTAGTTTGCAAGGAAAAATAATTTGTAAGGAAGATGTATGTAAATACGCTGGAACTATCTAAGCAATAAAATTCGTAATGTTTTATGTGCTCGTATGAATGAGGAAGCTTTTATTTAAACAGGAAGAATTTCCTTGGGGATTGTTGTGTAACAAATAAGGTTGTTAATGTGTCATTTGTCATGACATGTCGACATGTCATAAATGTCGTAAATGTCCAATATGTCAGACATTTACAATATCGTGTCAATGTCAGTATTTGTCAATACGTCAATTTGTAAAATCTCATGACATGTCATGACACATTGGCATTGACATTTTCGACATTTACGACATTTACTCAAATTTTCGGTCTTGGAATTGGGTATCAAGATGTTTTTTTACATTATTTGTCAATGTGTCAAGGACATGCCATGACATGTCATTGAAAACGTCAAGACATGTCATGACATATCGTCAAATGTCATGTATTTTTAGATCATGACATTTATGACATTTACGGACATTTATGACATGACATGTCATGGCGCGACGTGTCATGACATTTACGGCTTGACATGACATATTAACAACCCTAGTAACAAATAAACACATTGAACCAACATAGAAATAATACTTCAAAATTCTTGGTCAGGTCATTTAGAGTATAAATGGCAAATACTATATCATTTATTTTGATCGCCAAAGGCAAGATTGTTTATCAATTGTTCGAACAATAATGTTTAGAAATCATAACTTATTTTTCAAGATGTAGTCCACGGGCTTGTGCACATGAATTAAGTTGTGACGGACACTGATCGTTCGCGGTACGCACGGTTTTCATGGCAAACGCGACCAAATCATTAGTCAGTATGATCTCAGGTCTTTCATACTTATGTGAGATTTAGAATAGACTTGTATCTATAATTTTAACAACCGGTCATTATTTTGGGGATTAAGGTTCGCAGATGATGAAGACCGTCCTTTCGATGAAAAAAGTCAGGAAAATTCATCCAAAGCCACTTTTTGGGCAATTTTGCACCGTACGCAGGAGTAGAGCCTTAGTTGTTTCTTCAAAGGATTGGTCGGAAGACATTTTTTTAAATTTTTTTCTTATTATATCTTTATTACGAGCTTTCGAAATCTACTCTGATTTCTTCTTCAGGTAAAGAGAAAAATATAAAATTAACAAATTTCAAGTACTTCCAAATAATGGTATCATTTGGTAAAATAATAGTGTTGTCAAGGTGTATTGAGATTATCACTGGATTGGGGTCACGGTGGCTTGATAGTTGGGAGGAGAAGTGTGGTCCAGATGGGATTTATGGTCATGCCTTTATCACTGTTCATTAAATTTTGGCATTTTTGTATGTATAAACCTTCTTTAAAAATTCGATGGAAATATCGTGGTTCGAAATCAATGAGACTTGCTGAGTCATATTTGATGTCATGATGTGGGTTTTTTATTTTGTGGGTGGCGACGGCTGATTTTTCATTCTTGTTCTTGACATCACGTTTGTGTTCTCTTATTCGGGTGGTGATTTCTCTGCCTGTTTGACCGATATAGTTTGAAGAGCAGGAACGTGGAATTTTGTAGATTCCGATTGGATTTGGATCCCGTTTATCCTTTTGGTTGCAAAGAATTTGACCAATTTTCTTACCCGGAATGTAGCCAAAATCACATTCTAGAGAACGTCTTAGGAAAATAGTTAGTCTGTTGGTTAATTTGCCCATGTAAGGAAGGATAATGCGGGGCTTAGGGTCTTCCTCGTCGTTAGTTTTATTTTCTAATTTTAATTTCATTTTTTCATAGTAGAGTAGAGCCTTGTTGAAAGGTGCAATGTTAATTTTTACAAGGGTTCAGGGATTCAACTATTGGCTCCAGGACACTTCGAAAATATTTCTTGGCTCGAACCTTTACTGCACCGCTCAAGCAGTGCTCTGCATCCAATTTCTCTAAACTTCGTTTGCTTGTTGGTAATCATGTGACAGGTCTCTCGCCGCATTGCCCTGAGTCCAGGGTCATCCGTCAGTGCCACTTTGTTGGCAGATCTTGATACATTCAATAATAGGGCCAGCTTCTTCTGACAACGGCGTGGATTTGGCCATATTCTGGATTTTTGTGCTTTAACCATGGCTGGTGTCCAAACGGATCGAGATCCACAAGATCTTTTCCTGTCAATTTTACTACCTGCATACTTGTATCGTTTTATTATGTCATCAACAATCCGGTGTTTTGTTCTAGAGTTTTTTGGAATTTTAAAAATCTCACATTTTTTTGTTTCGCTGAGATGAAATTGCAAAATTTTAACCCTCCGCATCATTTTGTTCGCCATTTCACCAAAGTTAATTATTTTAAAAAAATTCCTACCGTTTTGTTAAGCAGGGCCGGGACGATTAGCTGCGTAAAAAGGTTTGAATTCTGCATGATCTCGCGGGAGAACGTACAGCGCCAACTCTGTGCGGGAATGTCTGAACCACGACCTTGTGAGGTTTAACAAAAGATATAAACAACTCATCAACATTATTTCTAATTAATTTAGTACACTCAACATATTGCTTTAAAACTTTAACAGGGCACAAATCAGAGTCTTGGTAGGGTGGAAGTATTAATACTGGATTATTTTTTAGAACTGATGTTGTTTACATTCTACCTGTAATAATGATCTGTACAGATTCTCCCCATTTGACATTACTCAACTTAATATTACATAATGTTTGAACACTTTTTTACCCGTGCATAATGCTAATAATCATACTAACCTAAACGTTAAATTTTTAAGAGAACAATTTTCAGTTACAATAGATTTCAAATGAAATAAGACCTTATCTGGATCCCATGTAATATTGTATCGAGGTGTTGGTGGTCTCAACCGACTAATTCCCTTCATTAAATCTATTACTAATTTATGCTCTCCAATAATAATTCCATCCACTTTACCAAAAACGGCCGAAAGAGTAGAACGAGCAGTGTTAACTGTGGAATAGCTAAATCCTATCTCATACAAATTTGATAAAAATTCCAAGTAATGTACAATATTTCTTTCGGTTGGTGACCACTTCTTATTGGCACAAAATTTAAACCATTTTTCTAATGAGGATTTATATTGCATCCATGTTCCGTTTGATTTTGACGCTTGAAGAATTTTGATGACCGAGTCCGATAAATTTAATGCTGTCCAGATTTTCCCGATAAAATTGCTACCATCAAACTGAGCTTGTTGTTCGGACTGAAGTGGCACTTTCTGTACGGATCAAATAAAAGACACTTGTTAGGCCCCAATAACATAATCTCGGATATTGCTAATTTTTTATATATTGGAAACCAAGGCTGAGTTTTCCAAAACGGGGCCACAAGTAAATCTGACACTGATCTTGCTCAATTTTGCGCAATGTTTTTAGCAACATATTAAAAGGTGGAAATGCATATGCACCATCTTGCCATGGAAAGGAAAATGCATCAACTCCTAAACTAAACGGATCTGGTTTATAAGAATAAAAACTTTGACATTGCGTGGTCTCATGCGTTGCAAATAAATCTAAAGTAGATGACCAAAATTTAGCACAAATTTTTTGATAATATTTTGGAGTGAGCATAAAATCGGAGGAATCAACTTTTTCTCTAGACAATCTATCCGCAACAACATTATCCTTGGTATTTATATAGCTGGCTGTTAAACCGATATTTTGTTTTATGGCCCATCGCCAAATACTTTTCGAAACTTTGTGAAGATCCGCCTTGCAACCTCCATACCTATTTATATATGACAATGTTGTCGTATTATCAACTCGCAATAATATTTGAATATTCTGAGCCTTAATTAACGCCTTTAACCCGTACATAACTGCATATAATTCTAAAACGTTAATATGAATAGGATGGAAATTAGCAGGCCAATTTCCTCTTGCTTTTTGCCCAGCGCATTCTGCACCCCATCCACTTAGAGATGCGTCTGTAAACATGACAAGATCAAATTTCAAGTTTTTGTACAGTGATTGGTTACTCTTAGGTAAATTCTGTATGCACCATATCAAATCCTGCTTTCCTAACTCAGAAATTTCCATCTTTCCTTCATAATTTCCATTATTATGTTCCAATGCCCTAGTTTTATCCATTTCTAATTGGCGAGTAAACAATAACCCATGTTTCACAGCCGGAACCGCTGCTATTAGCGAGCCAACTAATTCTGCAACACTTCTAATCGATAAGTCGGTGTTACCAATGCCTACTTTACATTTTTGTATTAATCTCAGCTTTTTCTCTTCGGGTAATGTTAAACTCATTTCTACTGAATTAATTATAAATCCGAGGTATTTGACAGTAGTACAGGGAATTAGCTGAGATTTATCATAATTTATTGTGAAACCTAGTCTTTGTAAAAGTGTCATCACGATATTTAAGTGGTCCTGGCACTCCTTGTGATCTCTACCTATAATTAGAATATCATCTAGATAAACAGCCAAAATTATTCCTTGTTCTCGCAACTTTGCAATAATTGGTTTGGTTAATTTTGTGAATAAATACGGAGCCAGGCTCAAACCAAACGGAAGACATGTGTATGTATAAAGTTTCCCTCGCCAAATAAATTTGAGATATTTCTGACTATGTTTATCAATTGGAATTGCATGATAAGCATCCCTAAGATCAATTACTGCCATGTAACAATTTAAAGATATCAGCTGTGAAGCTGTTTTGATAGTTTCCATTTTAAAGTGTGGATTCTCAATAAACAACTTTAAATTTTTAAGATTTAGGATAGGTCGCCTTGTACCATCTGGTTTAGGAACAGTAAATATTGTTGAAATAAACTGACCCAGCTCAGTATCTGACCTAACTATTGCGCCTGTTTTTAGTAATTTGGTAACACTCTCATCGATTAATTTTTCATCTATTTCGGAGTATTTTGGAGTGTTTGGCTCTCTACTTTGATATGGCACGGATTTAAAAGGTATATTATAGCCTTGAATAATTTCTAAAATTTTAGTATCAGTTGTAAGATTTTTCCAATCACTAAAACGTTTAACTAATTTGCCCGAGTTTACACATACCGAAGGTGACACTAATCTTTCCTTTGAAACTGGTTTGGTTTCCATGCTGGAAACGGATTCCGGTTCTGGCGAGCGTTGAAGTTTCGAAACTGCCCGTTCCCTCGTTGATGACGAAACGGGCGATTGAAGTTTAAAGGGGTGAAGTTTGGACGAATGTTTTGTCTCTGGTAAGGATGAAACCTGTTTCCCCGAGCCGCCGTATTTCTAATTAAATTTGATGTGGCGTTTGAACTCTTTAAATTTTCACTAAGGTCTTTTCCAAATAGCCATTCTGAGTGCTCAACCTATTATTAATTTTGTAATTTAGACAACGGTTACGATTTTCATCACATCTTCCATAATTTAAACTAAATTTTACCTGAGATGAACAAATTCCTCCATATTCAGGGTTCAAATACTTTTTCAAATCAAATCGACGGGTTGAATTTAATTGTTGGGCTTGATCTCCCACAATGTTCCCTGTATCGATTGCTAATCGAACCACCGTACTCACAACTTCCTTGGGAATCTCAGACTTTCTAGACAAAACTTGGTCTGTGATAACTGCCAAAGCTGATAACCCGGATGCGAAAGCCTGCTGGATTTGCTGCTGTTTGACATCGGCCAGTCGAGCATTCGATGGAATAATACGCCAAATTTCATTATTTATTTTTGGTGGGACGAACTCCTTGCAATTTGACCGAGTTTTGATATTTTCACGCAATTTCGATTTTGACTCTTTGGATAATGGACGAGTTACAGTTTTTATGAAGCTCGCCGCAACATTTTGCGAAACTTCCGGTCCCAGATCTGATCCCATCTCAATGTCGTTCAACAATTCTTCAACCTCTTTTTCATGTGGGTCTGTCAATTATTAACGAATAGTAAATATAAGTTTATTACTAAATACCTTCTTGAAAATAAAAATATCTGAGGTGGCAACTCACCATCATCTTCTGACTGTACATTGCCTAACAAATTGTCAGCATCCTTTTCAAAATCTTGTTGATCCTCCTCATCCGAAAGACCAAGTGACCAGGTTGACTTCATTTCAGGCTTATCAATCTTGCCTTGACCAATTAAACTTGCCAGCATAGTCGGCACATCTTTTAAAGCTTCAAGAGCTGCTTCTTGCTTTTTCAGCCTCTCTTCTATCCCATCGGGAACCTTCTCTTCATTCATATTCAAATCTTAAAGAAACAATTATTACTTGAATTATTACTTGATCACGATTGATCAGTTTGCCGTTATCCTCATCGAGGGAACGTTGGCATTATTTAAAATATATTTTTTAAATTCAATTAAATTTTTAGCTATCATTTTAGTTAGCCGTATGCCTATTCAAGGCAGCAGTTGGCCGTTTCTTTCATATTTCTTCAAATTTAAAATTCACCGACCCCCCAAAAAATGATAAATGCTTACCTGAGGCTGAGTGACTCCTTATCGTACGTGGGATAGAAAGGTTCTCGTCAATTCACAAGATGTAGAGTGGAATTAAAGTTAATAATTTTGCAGCAACGTGTCTCCCCAAATGCCAAAATTCAACTGTGATGAGGCATGGGCAGGACCGGCGTGAGTTGGATGCACCGGGATTTTTGAATCTTTGTTCTATGAATGGGGCAAAGAGTTGCTGTCTCCCTGATACCTGGTTCAGCAACTACCAACTGTCTCTCCGTGATGTCGACGGAGAGGAAGGTGAAATAAAATTTAGAAAATGATTCAACCAACTTTTTTACATGTTCAAAATTTTTGAAAATTTGTTAGGCTTTGTCCACCCAATTTGCATCTGAGATTTTCACAAATAAAAAATTTGCCCTTTTCTCAAGATTTTTCTTGAGAGTCTATTCTTATCTCATCACTTGCACGTTTACAAATTATTTATTGCACAAAATTAAAGGTGTATTATTAAAGAATGCACTTTCTCCCCTTTCGCCACATGATGAATTTCGCACAAATAATACTAGAATGAAGAATCCGGGTAAAAACCGGGCAGTCTGTTGTTTAGCGTGGTCGCGTGCGGAGGTCTCCTCCTCGTTTCTGTCTTATGTGAAAGATTTTCGAAATTCTGTCACTTAAAAAGCGATCCCAGACCGGATGCCGCTGTTTCTCGGAAGATTTCAGACCTAATTAAATAAATTGTGAACATACAGCATGATTTAGTTAATTTTAGTGACAATTTCAAAGTGTGAAAAATAATTAGGTGAATTACAGAAAGTGCTTATAAATTATTACGTGTTGCATGTCAAAATAAAATCGTAAAAGTAAAAAAAAAACTAGATACTGTTCATATTCTTAAAAAATTCACACACATTTCTTGTGTTAAAGTTCTGTAAATTAAAATTTACATAATGACGAAGAAACGTAATGGTAAGAAAATTAAACCTTGTTAGATTAACAGCATATTTTAATTTTACTTGTTAGGTATAGGAGACCATACCCAACGCATTATGTAGCATATTACAGCCACAAATCCTTACGTGTCTCAATCTGCCTCAAAACCGTATTGATTAAGTAACGCATATAATTTTCATGTAAAAATGTAACAAATCCATAATTTGTCTCAATTTGCCTCAAATTCTGCCCTTCCGGGTATTTTATCGAATCTAATTTTGCTGTAATGTAATTAAACGACATAACAAAATTAGCAAGAAATCGATGACAAGACAAACAAACGCGTGCTTCCGGTTTACATGATTCATGACAAGAACGTGACAACCACTGACAAATAATACTTATATTTTCCCATCTTCCTAATACCGAAAATAAATCTGGATACAGAATCCAATAATTATGGGACATATCACATGACATGACCAGGACGAACAAACCGTCCATCTGTCCAAAAGTACATACGAGCACAAACAAATACGTATGGAGACACGTGAGAAAGGTGCGTCCAAAATGCTATTGCTACAATAAATCTTCGAATTTGTCTCGAGTCAACTTTCACTGCTTTTATTGAGACAGTTGCCATAAAATGTCTCAATTTGCCTCTACCCATATTCTCAACTCAACTACTGAATTCACATCTTAACAAGTTGTACGAAATTTCTACAGAAAAATGTAATTTCATCTCAAACTATTCCATTAATTTAACATTTCAATCATTTCCACAAAACCTTTGTCTTTCAAAGGTCAAAATCATAATCAAAATCATTATGACCTTTATTTCAAGACATGTTCTTCCAAAATAGAGAGATGCGCTGTTAAGTACCTGCTTAAAATAAAGTGGACTTTTGTCGTGCTACAAAATTCATTAAAAACTTACAACATTTATTAAACTTTGACAATTTCTCGCAGTAAAGTAAATATATAAATATTTAAATAGGTAAATATGTAAAGACACATGTAAATAAGTACATCTCACCAAGTGCAAAAAGAATTACACAATCTGAAAAGTGTTAAAACAGATTCATTTAACTTTTTGCTAGGCTTTATTACACTTATCGAAATCCGAGTTTTACACGTGTATATACCTAAAGCACCCTCAAGTTTTGGCTAAAACTGTCCCTCGTTCACAAGGGGAGATATCAGTTGATACGCTCTCAAGGTTTCATGTTGGGTTCGGAAATGCACAATGTAGTGCCTTTTGTCCCGCGAGTTTCTTCCCACGTTCAGAATCAAGGCGAAGGGGGCTTCAGTAACGTCCATATTTAGATGATGAATGATCATATTTTCAACATCATAGATTTCATAATTTATTGTGCGATCCCCCCTCGTATGTTTAAACGAAACTTTCCCATGCGGTTCACACTGTACTCGAAGGATTATTCGACCACCGCCTGGTTTAATGAATCTGGAAGTTCCGTCGGAACGTGTCACAATGACGCATTGAATGCAAATATCTTCTGACGCTGTAAGCGGTTGACCACTTGGGTCAGCAATTCCTGGCGAAGTTAATCCTGCCCCTTGAAATTGGCAAGATGTAAGCTGTAAATTAATAAAATTACTCGGTTAAAAAAAGAATTTTCTAGACCACACGCACCTAAAATGCAATATTTTTAACCCCAACCGCCCTCATTTTAAGCTAGCATAACACTTTCTCAAACCCCCTTTCCTCTTGTAAAGTAAACGAAAATTTAAATTTAAAAAAATGATTTACAGTTTGGTCTAAAAATTAAGAAAAGTTCAAATTTTTGTATTTATTTGAAATTTGTACCCTAAATTTCTTTAAAAAGGTAAAAATTCAATTTTGCCCAGGTTGGTGAATATTTATAGGGAATTTTTTACAGAAAACTCATCCGCCACACTAGTTTTGTGAGGTACCGACAATAATTAAGGAGTGAAAACCCTGTATGGTGGTAAACTAAGGATAACTTAAAACGTGCCCATTTTAACTAACCAGGTCTGTTTCGACTTCCGACTTGAATAAGGCGATCGCTGACCCTGTGGGTCTGGTGTACTCCCCTACTTCCTGTTTAACCTGCAGTGGGTGCGACATGATGGTGGCCATTTTCTGGCTCTAACTTCACCTGTTGTGATGGTGGTGTGGTGAACACGAAGACAATTTGCGGGTTTACGTAGTGATGGTTAAAGGGTCAGTAGCAGACTGAACATGAAAATTACGAGTTCTTTATTGGAAGGGTTGCATGAAGGGAAGGGTTGATTAGTCGAAAAATTGTTTCAAATTTTTCATCCGCCCAACTTATTTCATTTCTCCACTAATAATGGAAGTCTCTCAACGTATGCTCACAGGTTTTAAGCAAATTAGTCTCAATCGATAACAAATTTAATTAGTATGAAATTTGAAAAAATACATTCTCCCAATGGGTGCGTTTGGCCGAGATATTTGAATCCGAAGAAGCAGTGAAGAAAACGTGCAGTAAATTTGGAAAGTGTAAAATTTGTCGACTTTCAGAGTGCGTTTTCTTCTCCTCGGATGCAAATATCTCTGCCATACGTGCCCATTGGGAGATCGTATCCTGTAGATTGAGACTAGTTTGACCTTAGTCAGAGAGCAATCTCTGGGAGACCTCCATTTTAAGCTTCAATACGCAGGACCCCTATTTCTCGCTTTATAAATAAATATGCATGTATTTATAAGCCGAGTTCTGGCCGTTGTCCGAGGGAGGTAAGGATTTAAAAAAAGGTCTAATATTTACGACCCTTTTCATCCAGTTTCTCATTATAGTAAGCTATTGTATTTTTACGTTTCTAAATATACAAACCAAACTAAATTTACTAAATATTAATACTCTACTATTTAGAAACATATCTATACTTACCTACTAGGACAAAATATATGTATACTTTCTGCTAGAGTCGCATATGTACTCCGCACTGGTATTGATTTGGTAATAATTTCATACCAGATTTGTATAGTAGTTTCTTTCCGAGTTGTAGATTTGTCATTACCACAACTTTACTAACCGGTAATGCTTCTTATTACCGTGCCGGTAGAGTCATAGATGTACTCTGATAAGTAATTAAAGAAATGATGTAATACCTGCTTTCTAACAGTACAATACACTCACAGGTTAGTAAATTTGGCAGACACTATTTGCAAATCGCATCCTACAGATACATACGCGGTTATTGCACATCCGACAATTTCGTGACCAAATTATTTAGAGCGAGGAAATACATGTGAACCACATCTGTGGTTGCTGAAGATTTCACCTTTTTCTAGCCCATTTTTGAAGAAAATCTCTTCACACAAAAACCTGCAGGTGGCGAAGCCAAGGATATGTAGCTTGTACAAGAAGAAGGGAAAGTTATTAAGCGACAAACTTTCCTCATGCAGAAATGTCTTTCTTTTATTCTGTGTAAATGCAAAAGTCTTCTATTACATTCTCTCGTATATACGAATTTCATTAACTTTCTCCTCCCCGTTTTCTCCGGACAAAGGCAACTTTCTCCAACGTGGACTAATTTTTTACATGCTAGTTTCATGGAGAAAGGCAATCTGTTGCTAATTATTATATGTAACCTTGAAGAATATCACATTATTAAATGGCAAATTAAATTAAATTCTCAAAATCTCCAAAACAGACAATTAGACAGCATCGTTCGGTGATAATGTTTCACTTAATGGTGATAAAATTAATACCATTTGTCACCATGGGGTGAAAAAGATTACCTCTATTTAGTGAAGTTACTAAAATATGTACATCGTTCGGTGACGATTAACACCAGGTTTTTAAGAGTATACTTTGTAAAATGAATTTGTACTCGTTATTAATCCAGGAAACTCACTATGGAGGTCTCCCAGCGTATGCTCTACGATTTTGAGCAAATTAGTGTCAATCGATCACAAATTTAATTAGTATGACATTTTCAAAAGACACGATCTCCCAGTGGACACGTTTGGCATTTGCATCCAAAGAGGAGAAAACGCGCAGTAAATTTGGAAAGTGTAAAATTTGTCAACTTTAAGCCCGTTTTCTCCTCTGACTTTAAAAACTAAAAAATGGGATTTATTAACGTCGCAAACAACATTTTCTGAATTATTTAATTAGGAGAATCATGTTAAAGATAATAATGCGCAGTAAATTTGGAAAGCGTAAAATTTGTCAACTTTGGGTGCGTTTTCTCCTCTTCGGATGCAAATATCTCTGCCAAACGTGCCCATTGGGAGATCGTGTCTTTTCTAAACTTCTAACTAATTAAAATTATAATTGATTTACACTAGGTTAGCCAAAATCGGAGACCATGCGCTGGGAATTCTCCATTGTCATTTCTCAACAATTATCATCGAATAAATTTACAAGATAATATATGCATCTCTTTATTTTACAAATGTTTGGTTTGGTTTGCAAAATAATGTTGCAAAACTTGAAGAAGTGAATTGACTCAAAATAACATTTTAAAAGTCTGCAATGAAAATGGTGCATTTTTGTAAAAAAAATGTTCGGGTTTGACGATATTTGGTAAAATTAGAAAATTAAATTATTTTACGGAGTGATTCAAGGTGTTGAGAATGTGACAATCAAATGAATGAAAATTATAGTTGAGGCTATTCACGAAAATAAAGTTGCACTATTTTGTAAAATTACGAAATAAAAATATGCCCATCAGACGTTTGTAAATTTTAGAATAGAAATTCAATTCAAACTTATCACTACTCAATAAACAAAATATTTTTCGTTTCCATAAAAATGTATTAAAATTGAGACATGATAAGCACATAACATTCTCATTGTGCCTTCCACATGTAAAAAAATTACTCCTACGCACATTGTCCCAAACGAGAATGTCAAACTTGGAATAAATCAATCCACTCAAATTTTCTATGTCTCCCGTCCTCCATTCTTCTCTTTCTTTCCTATTCAAATAAGTCCCAAGTTCTTGACTTTCACCGCAACTTGAGAATAGATCGATTCATTCATTTATCTCGGATAAAATAAAATAAACCGTCGCAAACGCGCATACGGAAGTAGCTTCAGATTCACTCCACCCCTACGACAGCGGGGGAACACTTAATTTCAGTGTATTTCATCCATGTTTTTTAATTTCACTGAAAATCTCATTTTGCCCCAACAACACCCCCTGGCGCACAGGGGGTGTGGTACAACTCGGGAACACTTAATTTCACTCTATTTCAGCTATAGATTCAATTTTTGTAAAAATCTCATTTAGCCCCGACCACACCCCCTGACGCCCAGGGGGTGTGGCACATCAGGGATACACAAAATTTCACTCCAGTTCATCCATAGAATCAATTGCACTAAAAATCTCATTTTGCCCCGACCACACCCCCTGGCGCCCGGGGGGTGTGGCACATAAGGGATACACAAAATTTCACTCTAGTTCATCCATAGATTCGATTGCACTAAAAATCTCATTTTGCCCCGACCACACCCCCTGGCGCCAGGGGGTGTGGTCCGGTTGCACCCAAAGGTTGATAGGATCCTCCCCCTGGGGTCTTATGTATGATGGCGAAAACCGATTTCGATTATCTTTATCCGTTCTCCCGTTATCCTGCTGACAGACGGACAGACAGACAGACAGACAGACAGACAGACAAAGTCTTCACATAAAGTAGCTGAAGCTACTTAATAAATACATGTGTACAAGCAATGCACTTATGTTTAATGGATTTGTTTAACCCACCCACGCAACTGTGCACTGTTATAAATCTGGTAGAGTCAGATACACACTCCGGTCCATACTAGTCTTGATTTGGTAGTAACTTTCTACCGGATTGGTACTAGTTTGTTTCCAAGTGGTAGATTTTTCATTACCACGACATTACTAAAACGGTAATGTCCGTTATTACCGTGCCGGTACGCTCTTAGAAATAGGGTTACGATTATAACCAAAAAGTAAACGTATGTGACTCTACCGCCGTGCTTATAAATTTGTCATCGAGTGGATACAATTGTCACCGGCTAATTATAAAGTTGTTTCACCGACTTGGTATTAAATTGTCACCAGAGCTGATAAATTTGTAACCAGTTGGTGACAAACTCATAACCATAGCGGTTGAGTCATGTACGTTTACATTTTGGTAGTAATCGTAACCCTATTTCTGAGAGTGCATACCTGTACTCCGGTCAGTAATGATTTAATACCACTATTCTAAGAGTGTACACACACAATTTCTTGGAAGAGAAGAAGGATAAAAGAAAGCTGAAAAAATCCAATAATGTCAAAAACATACAGAGAAACCAAAAGGTGATATTTTTTAGCAAAGAAAAAATAAGGCAGAATTCATGTACCAGTTTGACTTTGACATGCCACACGACTCCAGCACCACACTTTCTCCATCCGAATAAGAAGCAAATGTGTGACAAATTGCTTTCACTTCTTCTTTTGTGCCCCTGTTTTGTATGCCGATTGGGAAAACATGAAGAGAATTAATGTACATCTATTTATACACACGATAAGAAATATTGGGTGAAAGTGAATGTCCTCCCCTCGTGTTAATAGTGCCGCATTCTGGTTCTAACCTAACTAGATAACTGTTCATACTAACGTGCTTATCATATAGTAACCAAGGCTAAAATGTATGTACATATGTGTGAATGTTAGCATTACACACATATCAGGATCTGGACACCAATCTGGATTTCTCAGTCACAAAATTTCTGTAAACTAAAAATTCTAGAAAATTCTAAACCCAATTTCTAAAAATACGCTTTTTGTCACATCCATACTCGTGCTAAAAATAATTAATGTATATTTCATACAACCCAAAAATTTTAAGAATTTTAATTATTTTATTATTTTATTCCATCGACGGAGATCTGCTTTCGTGATAAAAAGATATGTACGAATTGCAGAAAAATCTCAACTTGAGGGATTTGCAAGTCGATTTAAGAATTTAAACATATTGAAGTATTTATAAGTAATTAAAGATTTTTCCAATGATTACCAAAAATCAATAATGCAAAAGTAATTGAGGAATTTATTTAAGTACATATTTCACACAATAAGTTATTCCAGGAAAACACACTTTTAGAAATCCAGTTGTAGCTCGATGCTCGATATTAAAGTTTTATCATGTGGGTAGCAAAATTTTACGGACCGGTATAGAAAATTTTAACACCAAGTAGTACCAACTTTAATACCGAGAATTCAATACTACGTACGTGACTATACCACATATCTAAACAGGATTAAAGTAAGTTGTGTTATGACTGCATACGAGTAACGAATTACGAAATTCTAGTCACACATGTGACAAAAAAAGCCCTACGAGGATTTCCTGTTTCAAATATGTTTAGAAACTCCAG